AAATGAAATTTGAACAAGATTGGGGAAGCAAGGCCTTTATCAGTTCATACAAAAGTAACAGCAGAGGGGTAGGCATTTTTATTAGGGAAAATCTCACATATAAAGTGTACAATAGTGATATTGATGCAAATGGTAATTTTGTAATTCTAGATATTCAGATAGAAGATAGGAGATTCTCATTGGTCTCACTTTATGGACCAAATACTGACTCACCTGTCTTTTATACTGATCTCAAGGCAAGACTCGAAATTATTGAGAATGCTTCTATATTAGTTATGGGAGATTGGAATCTAGTTTTAGACACTGACCTGGATACTTTCAATTATAAGCACATTAATAATCCGAATTCAAGAAAAAAGGTTCTAGAGCTCTGTGAACAATTAGAATTATTTGACATTTGGAGAGAATTGAATCCGGAAGTGAAAAAATTCACTTGGCTGAGAAGGAAACCGCGACAAATGGCAAGACTTGACTTTATACTTGGAACAGAAGATTTCATTAATTTAACACATAAATGTGATATATCATCTAGTTATCGGTCGGATCATAGTCCGATTCTTTTGACTATAAATAATGATTTGCCAGAAAGAGGGAATGGGTTTTGGAAATTCAATGTGTCTTTACTTAGGGATCCGGTGTATGTTACCATTGTAAAAAATTCCATTGAGAACATTAAAAATCAATACGAAATAAGAATCCCTGAGAATGACCAAATAGATTTTGACCTCTCAATAAATGATCAACTGTTTTTTGAGATGCTTAAACTAGAAATAAGAAGTCAAACTATTAAATATTCATCAGAAAAGAAAAAATTAAAAGAAAAGGTTCAACGTGATCTTGAAAATAAGGTCTTTGTTATAGAAAGGGAAATAGAAAATATTATTAATTCAGGTGATGCTCAGGATGACGATCAGAGAATCATTTTAGAAAAAAGATATGAAAATTTGGATAGCGTCAAACAAGAAATTAAAGAATATAGAGATATTTATGTAAAAGGTCTTATGACAAGGGCCCGAGTCGAGTGGTACGAATCAGGAGAAAGAGCTACGAAATATTTTAGTAGTCTCGAAAAGCGAAATTTTCTAAATAAACTTATATGCCAAGTAGAGGTAGATGGAGAACTTATTACTGATCCCAAAAAAATACTTCTTGAACAGAAAAAATTTTATGAACTCCTTTACAGTAGAAAAGTAAATTGTGCTGATGAAAATATAGACCTCTTCCTTAATGATAATAATATCAAATCACTAAACGAAGAACAAAAACAGTCTTGTGAGGGTATTTTAACGGAAAAAGAATTAATCTTTGAATTAAAAAATGCAAAAAATGGTAAATCCCCTGGATCAGACGGCTTTTCTGTAGACTTTTATAAATTCTTCTATAGGGATATTGGTAAGTACCTACTCAAATCTCTAAACGCGGCTTATACTTTAGGTGAACTATCAATCACACAGAAGCAAGGCGTTATTACTTGTTTACCAAAATTAAACAAAATTAGAAAATACTTTAAGAACTGGCGACCGATATCTTTATTGAATGCGGACTATAAACTTCTCTCATCAGCTTTAGCAACAAGGATGAAATCAGTTTTGCCACATATAATTTCCGTGGAACAGAAAGCATATTTAACGGGTCGAGAGATGGCTGAAAATACAAGACTTGTGTATGACGTTATGGACTATCTTAATAGAAACGAGCAAAAGGGTCTTTTACTTTTAGCAGATTTTGAGAAAGCCTTCGACAGTATCGAATGGGTCTACTTGGAAGAATGTCTAAAAAAATTCAATTTTGGAGATAGCTTCTTGAAATGGTTTAAGATTTTATACAATGGAAGCGAAAGTTGCGTAATAAACAACGGTTTCTTTTCAAGTTTTTTCAAATTAAAGAGAGGTTGCAGGCAGGGAGATTCGCTCTCTTGCTACGCATTCATCTTAGCTCTAGAGCCTTTATGTTCAAAAATTAAAAAAGATGTAGAAGTTAAAGGGGTCAAAATATTCGATAAAGAGATAAAGGTTGGCATGTATGCAGATGATACGTTTATCTTCCTAGATGGAACTCCGTCTTCCTTGAGACATTGTATGTACATTTTTGATAAGTTTCATGAAACATCAGGGTTAAAACTTAATAAAGAGAAAACATCAGCAATATGGTTAGGAAGTAAACAAAACTCAGAAAAAATGTGTGAAGACATTCCACTCACATGGGAATCTAAGTTTAGGTTACTCGGGTTGAATTTAACATCAGATCTTCAAAATATTGAATCCATTAATTTTGAAAATAAAATTCAGGAAATGCAAACTGTAATAAGTAGATATAAAAAAAGAAACTTATCAATACTAGGAAAAATAACGGTTCTTAAATCATTTGTTTTGCCTAAAGTAGTACATTTATTTCTAGTGTTACCCAAATTGTCATGTGCAAATCATAAAAGAATAAAACAACTGTTTACTTCTTTTATATGGAATTCCACAGTAGCAAAAGTAAGCTTCTCACAATTAGTTCAAAATGTTGAAGATGGAGGTTTGAGAATGATTGAACCAACGCTCTTTGAACAATCCCTCAAACTTACATGGATGCAAAAACTTCTTAGAGATGGCTCTTGGCAAGAAACTGCTTTAAAAATCATCAATGTAAGATCAAGAAACGAGCTTTTTATGTATGATTCAAAATCAATTCAAAAGATTGAGGAAAAAATTTCGAATAATTTCTGGAGAGATTTTGTTCATGTTCTGAGAATTTATACACAACAGAAAGAAAAAGAAGCTGAACATAATACTAAACTGAGAGCTGAACAAGCTATGTGTAATACATGGGGGAAACATACCAAAAATCAAAATGTTCAATATATACTGCAAAATACAAAGGTTAACAATGAAGTAATTGTACTACAAGATGTATTTCATAATTCAAACAGACTTCTAACGCTTTTAGAATTCAATGACAAATTCCACAGTAATATTAATTTTTTAGACTATTTGAGTCTAAAAAACACTATTCCAAAATCTTGGCTAAGAGACGTCATGGAGAATAATCAGAATATCACTGATTATGAAAGAAATAAAGTACACGTACAAAAGTTCCTTACTCAGTCAAAGATTAGTAAAATAATATACTGGGAATTTGTTCAGCATTTAGAAAAGAATTCAAAATATATAGAAGGATGGAATAAAGATCTGAATTTGTCACTCAATCAAAATGATTGGAAGAAGATAAATAAACTTAACAAACTGAGTAACTATGAACCTAAATTATCATCCTTCACTTATAAAGTCCTTCACAGATTTTTAGCAACTAATACATACCTAAAAATGTGTGGACTCGTAGAGTCAAACATTTGCACTTTTTGTAAAGCAAATCCTGAAACGATTTGCCATCTTCTGTATGAATGTACTATTGTAAGTGCCGTATTAAATGACATTAAACAATGGCTTCCTTTAGAGCTCACATTGCTATGCACTAAACAAAATGTATTGATAGGACCTGAGAGTATAAATGAGAAGACAATCATCTTAAATAATATGCTATGTATTTTTAAAAGGTATGTTTATTTGTGCAAATATTCTATGCTAAAACCAACACTTAAAGGTTTTATAAGTAATGTGAAGGAATATTTTATTATGGACAAACGGGTTGGCAGAGGCGATAAGTGGAAAATCATGGAAACAAAATTAAACAAATGAAACTGATGATTTTTTCCTTTAAATAAAAAAATGCCAATGGTATAATGTCTCTTAAGACGAAATATTTAACCACTGTACTGTATTGTAAAATTGTTAAATGTAGGTTTACCATGTAACTGTACTGTAATTGTTTTTTGCAATTGCTTTAACATGCTTATTCTTTGAAATAAAAAAAATTATAAAAAAAAAAAAAAAAAAAAAGTTCTGTAAGTATGAGAATAGCATGACGTCTTAATACTTCAGGGTAACGTCGTTTGAAAAGTGATGGTGGTGATTGAAATAACGATGTAAAGATAAAACCGCAACGAAATATGTGTATATTTCTTTGAAAAACTAAAAAAATATACATCACATATCGAATTTTCCGAAACACAAAAAACATGACATTGTACAAATAGTAAGGCCTGCAGGTTCGATTCCCCCTGGTAGCATTTACATTGGTCTCGTGTATGTCAAACAATTATATTTGAAACACAACTGTCATTCGAACTTATGATTGGACATAGGTATGATACTAGTTTATTACATTTGGCTTGAAGTACACATCATACTAATGTCCGATCATAAGTTCGAATAATAGTTGTGTTTCAAATATTAATGAAATATTTGTAGATTTCTTTGAAAAACTAAAAATATACATCACATACAGAATTTTCCGAAACACAAAAAAACATGTAGTAAGGCCTGCAGGTTCGATTCCCCCTGGTAACAAAGTAAAAAATAAATATTCATCAAGAGTGGCGAAATGCTTCTAAAATCCTGGTGAATGTAGAGTCTCGCATCATACGAATGTAATTTTAGGCGATCTGTCTGTATGGGGTGACTCAGCCTGTGAGTGTTTGTATTTCTAATAAAGATTTCAATACTTCTATCATTCGACTCATTCACTCGTGTATACGTTTGCATTAACACACAATGTTTCCGTTTTTGTTGTAAAACTTTTACAGTGACATTGGAATCAGAGGAATATAGACATTATTTGATGTAAGAGGTTTTGCCCTACTAGGACGATACTGTAGCTACAACAATTTGACTATACATGCAGGATATTTGACCAGTATGCCATTTGCTTAGTCGCATTTGAATTCACGAGCGAAATACATATCATTACAAGTTGATTAAAATATCGGACTTTGATTGTTTATTTAACAATTGGTCTGGCTTACCCTAAAAACAATCCAGAGGAGGCAATAAAGGACGGTATAGATAAACAGATGTTTAAGGATATTCTACAACGATCTATATTATTTCCACGTTGGGCATTGCCACATATAATAGGGCATGTGATTAAAATAATGCACGATTAATGATAGAGCAGGTATGAATGTTCTTAACAAAGACGAACACGCTGCATCAATGCGTGCCCTAAAACGAGGAACAACAAATAACGTAGATATGCTGTTTCCAAGTGGGACAGATGTACGTGTAGATACTGCAAAATTGATTCATGCAGAAGTAAAGGCTGCAGCTAATTATGGCTATACTGCATTAATGAGAGCAATTTTGAATAATGCAACTGGATTTGTGGAAATGTTGATTGCCAGTGGGGCATATGTAAATAATACAGATGATTGCGGGACGACTGCATTAATGTATGCCGTTAAAGTTAACAGTGTTGAGTATGTAGGGAAAGTGATTGCCGCCGGAGCAAACTTAAATGCTTCAGACACAGCTGGGAAGACTGCTTTGATGTTTGCAGTTGATCTTGATTCAAATGAATGCGTGGAAATACTAATTGCCAGCGGGGCAGACGTAAATGCTGCAGACAAACATGAAGGAACTGCATTAAAGTATGCAATTGCCAGGAATTTCGCTAAATGTGTTGAATCGTTGATTGCAGGTGGGGTGGATGTTAATACTGCTGACAAAAATGGGGAAACTGCGTTGATGTTTGCAACAGAAAATTATTCAATTGAGTGTGTAGAAATGTTAATTGCCAGTGGGGCAGATGTAAATACAGCCGACAAACAGGGATGGACTGCATTGATGTTTGCAATTTGGATGGAATTTACTGAGTGTGTTGAAATGCTGATTGCAAGTGGAGCATATTTAAATACAACAATCGTAAATGGAAAGACTGCTTTAATGTTTGTAATTGAGCTTGGTTCAATTGACATGATTGACTATGTGGAAATGTTGATCGCTAATGGGGCAGATGTAAATACAGCAGACAAACATGGATGGACTGCATTGATGTATGCAATTTGGATGGAGTTTACTGAGTGTGTTGAAATACTGATTGCCAATGGGGCGGATGTAAACACAGCAGCCGAAAGTGGTAAAACTGCGATAATGTTTGCAAATGAGTTTGGTTCAAGTGATTGTGTGGAAATTCTGATTGCCTTTGGGGCAGATGTAAACGGATGTGACAAACATGGTTCAGTCTAAACAACAAGGAGGTGAATACGATTTTCGTGGGCGGGGCAATACGATTTTTTTCAATATCAAAAATATTCCCGGGTGTTATTAACCGGGAAGTAGTAGTACTATGGGATAAAGTAAAAAGGACAATGATAACATGTATGATGTGGCCCCTGGAGAAAACAATTGACACGTAGGGAGACAGTATTCCTGCAAGAGTAAACGTCCACGTTAAATATATCTTTATAAATAGGGAGATTATACACGTTCTTGAGTACGTGAACGTGTAGAAATATGGTCATATATGGGTTACTTCCCCCATTTGTAGCGTTTACTTTGCCGATTGAGTGTATCTGTATGGGGAATAATTGTAATAAGGTCCATGAGAAAGTGAATTGAGGGCGGGGCAGATATTCCCGAGGGTCGACGGGATCTCTTAAAACGTATCACGTCCTTAATGACACCAAAGCACACAGCCGGGATGTGCTGTTATAATACGAGTCCATCTATAAGCCCTTGTGGGGGGAGGGGGGGGTCACAGCAAAGGAATAATAATTCTGGGGGTCCGTGATGAATAGGTAATTTATAATCGTGTATGCCAAGTTTAACTTATATTGCAACATACTGTATGATGTATCGATGCATATAAAAATATCGCAATTGAAGAGAGTCAACAAATATGACGAATGGGATTTTTTTGAATAACCAAGATACTTGTTGTTCCTCATTCACGAGGCAACAAAATCAATACAGACGTCTAGTTTTTCAAAATCCCTTGAGAATATTCTAAGCTTCCATAATAATAGACAGACAAAATATTTACATATACTCATAACAAAACGAACGTTATAAATGAGGTTAACAATTGAAAATATTCAATGAGTGGGTGTTCTTACATGTCTTACTTCATTCTGCAAATATTAAATTGTTTAAACGGCCAGGCCCGTAGCCAAGGGGGGGGGGGTTTGATGGGTTCGAGCGAACAACCCCCCCCCCCTGGCCAAAAAATCTTTCAAAATCATGCAGTTTTTCACCATTCTGAGCACTTTTTAAGTGATTTTGAGTGAACCCCCCTGGAATTTTTCAAAAAGTGAATCCCCCTTGGCAAATCCTTGCTACGGGCCTGTAACCTACATAAGGACAAAATTCATTATCAATCATGCTGTACTTATACGCTTTTTTCAATTTAGGCCACTAATATAGATATCAATTTTAAAATTGAATTTTGTACTATGCAGCATAGGCATTAATTGTTCAGTATAATTATCCTATAGATGTCCAGAATTTTACATAGGTACCTTTATAACAACTGATGTCACGTTACAGCTAGAATATTGATAAATAGTACCGTGGGTACTGGGCTCACATGGTGTTGCTCAAAAGTTAATGATGGCTAATATTGCAGAAAATAAAAAAAGGATATAATTTTTTGCCAATTTTTGTAACAAAAGTATTTCATACTGCTACTCTTTACAGTGACATGGCTTTTTACAATGCACCTGAAATTATTTGTAAAGCTAGAAATGGCCCAAGAGTGAATTTCGCGAGACAAAAAATGGCGACCATTTTGAAAATAGGCGAGCTTTTGAAACGGGAATCCTATTGACAGAGGTTTAAAGGGAATGCGAAGTTTCATGTTCTAATTTACACGCTGGCTACTTATAACCATCATCTATCACTTCAGCTCACTCATGGGACATATCGTGTTTGAACTAACATATAATTCAAGTTCAAAGTACCCATATCTGGATCGCTGCGGATGCCGCCATTGTTATTTATCAATGACGTCATTGATGCCTTAAAATTGATGCCTGGGAAATGTCGCTATATGATCACGTCATACTCGGATCGCAGAAATAGAACACATTTCACTGATATTTTATAACTATTTCTGTCCGCTTGACATTGGTGCCGCATGTTCATGTCCATATCATATCATATATTTGGAAAAGTTGTTTCAATATATTCTTCATAGAAATTGAATTGTTGCAATGTATTTTTTCAAATGTTTGTATTTATTTTCTCCAATGTGATATAGTATAGGCTGGGTAGAAAAATCACTAAACTTATGAGATATCGGCTGTGCGATTCGGAATTCATCGCATTATATTCCACTTGAAAAATGTCCACTAGAATTATTTTATATAATGATAACATTGGGTCAAAAAGGATAAATCTGTTCAAATCCTGTAAATGCTTTCTTGTATATTTAACCAATAAATGAGGTAAATGCATTAAAATATACAAAATGGCATTTACACATAAATGCATTACTGTGCATCAATGGTGATTTATTTAACTAAGATTAATGTGGCTAATGTGTTGGCGTATTTGTGGTGAAAATACATGTAAGTAAGTTATATCATCGGCTGAACGCATCCAACAAATAGTTGCATTTACCATATTTATGTAAATACACGACATACCATTTAAAATATCAAAATCTATGCTAATGTTCATTAATGCGCTGATGAGCATTTACGGCACATCATTATTAACCTTAAGGTTTACGTCGACAAATAGGCATACTGCCGCAATTGCATGCTTTCTTACCTAATCATAAGTGGTAGATTTCTTCAATCTGTAGTATTCTATTCAAATATGAATAGGTGCATATTGGAGAATGAAAGAAATAAAACAAAAAGTAGCAATCCAATGAAACAGTAACTCCCTAAAGTGTTTAGCCATTTAAATTCTGATGAAAAACGCAAACAAAAAAACAAAAAATCGATGTCGTCTAAATGATACATATGTAAATGTCAATCTCCTAAATACTAAGATTGGCAATAGCTTTACAAGGACATGCCACTGTCATATTTTCAAAGAATAATACGTAATGTTTAATTTCTCAGTTGTCAAACGACCAATTTCAATATATCATATCACCGTAGCGACATTAGATATGACAAAAAAGCTTTTCAAAATTCAATGGTATTTCACCTTGGATCATGACAAGAGAAGGCTCATAACATTCAGTGATGCGGGGAGACGATGGGGTCGATTGTAGTATGATATTTCATTTCCACGACGATGAGGCAATTGCCGTATTGATAGTACGCCAATAGTTAAATATTTATTTTATTATATATTTATTTTTTGTTACAACATCCGTGGTAAGTACAGTTCTACGGTATTTTCGAAATAATTATTTACAATTTAATGGCATACAACCTTTTGTTTTTCTATATCGGAAAATAAGTGGAACTTTAAAAGCTTCAGTCACATTTGTTCAATGCGACCACACGTCGATCGTATTTCCCTGAAATCAGTAAATTTCTGCGGCAAACATAGGAAAACTACAGTCGACTTAAGGTCACTGCACCTTGCTGTCTACGTATACGACATATCCAGTTTTTACCAGGCGTAGAGTCGGAGTTATAACTTTTTCTTTCCTGTGGTCACTATAGATATCAACAAGCAGCAGCCAAACCGTAGGTCTCACGACGGCCGTACGTCGGGTTCACGGTCGACTTGTGGCTGCGCTTGGATTTCATAGGTTACAATTGACCTTTCCGAACCATAGAACCCCTTGTGGATGCCTTCAAGAAAAAACTACGCACGTCATAGGGCCGCCCTACGCTGATCGTGCGTCATCATTTATCAGCCGTACGGGAATCGTAGTTTTTCCTCATAATCAAGATACGCCGTATGGCTATCTTAGCAAATGTGACTGCTAATTGAATACGGAATTTTAATTTCTTAGAATACCTGTTTTAAAGATAAACATAAATGCAATGAATATTAAAGTACGAACACGTGTTTTTGTAATGAGACTAGCAAATTAAACAATTGCAATCTTGGAAATCCAAGATGGGTTGGTTGAATTAATTTTATTTTGTTTTATTCGAATAGTTTGTATTCGCCTGATAGAATTAGCATTCTCTGTTCGCATTTAGCGCTAGACCTAATAAAAGTTAAAAAGTCACGAATCCCAGATTATTTCAAGTGTAAATAAAGAATAAATCTAACCCGCATTCCATGTCTAGATAGGTAAAATGCAATTCCGAAAATGCCGGCGTTAATATTCAATTGAAATCGTTCTTTATTATGGGTGGTATATACGTATTCTTTTAGTTCCTTTGAAATGATTTCTTTGGTTTTGGAATGGCAACAACTCGGCATTCATTTTTTGATTCAAAAATGGCGCCACAAAACTTTTGGAATGCCAAGGCATCAATCTGGCATCAATGACGTCATAACAATGTCGTAAAGAACCACTTTACGGTTGAAATGGCAGCTCCGTGGTCCAGTTCATATGCAAAACCCGGGGCTCAATAACAATTAAAAGGATAATGATAGAACAATAAAACTAAGTTGGATTGAAAGATATATCTTTATTCTAACTTATTATCAAGTTTAAGGGACAAAACTTCGCATTCCCTTTAAAGGCAAATGGTCCAAAAAGTTGATTTCGCGAGACAGATGGACAAATAAATGTTAACTGAAATGGCTGAAAATAAAATGGATATAATTTTTTGCCGATTTTTTGTAACAAAATTATTTCATACAACTACACTTTACAGTGACATGGCTTTTTACAATGCAGGACACCCGAAATCATTTGTAAAGCATGGAAATGGGCCAAAAGTGAATTTCGCGAGACAAAAATGGCAACCATTTTGAAAATAGGCGAGCTTTTGAACCAAGACTAGTCATGTGGGAGTTTCCTGTATTGATGTTGATTCAAAAATAACTTGAAACGGGAATCCTATCGACAGAGGTTTTAAGGCAAATGGTCCAAAAGTGGATTCCGCAAGACGGATGGACAAATCAATGGTAACTAAAATGGCTTAAAACAAAAAAAACGGCGGCCATTTTGAAAAAAGGGGAGCTTTGGAATTAGGAATCATAGGGGGGGGGTTCTATATTGATGTTGAACAAAAATAACTTAAAACGGGAATCCTATTGACGGAGGTTTTAAAACGGGCCAATTGTTGTCACAGACAAACAGAAGACAGACGGACGGACAGACAGACGGACAAGTGAGTGATTGCAATAGCTCACCATATGAGCTAATAAAAAAGACAGTAAGTAAGTAAGTAAGTAAGTAAGTAAGTAAGACAAAACATGATCTTTTTTCAGTTATGTTATTTTTTCTAGGTGTTTTGAACACAGTTTAAGTTAAGTGGCTACATTAATGCTTCTATAGACCCCATTGGTTTACTCATGCCCTACATTTAATTAACTTCCTTTGTAGCAAAATTTCAAACTACTTTTAACATAGTTTCTCTCGTTCGCATTTTTTTAATTATGCTTAATTACACATAAAAGAAAAACAGAATTAACGCACCGCTCTTTTAATTAGCTAAATGTTACCCAATTTTCCCGAAAATTACAAAAATCAAGATCCTCTTTTTTCTAATGAGAAAAAATGTTATTGCAACGATATAATATAATATAAAATATTTCTTTTTCTAAATCATACATCGGAAAAGATTTGACATTGATATTATAGATCATTTATTTATTCCAAAAAAGGAATATTTATTTTTATTTCCTATCCTTATGGTACTTGTCTCAATAAAACTAAGTGGAAGGTTAACACATGAAGAATCAGTCAAAATTAATTACTCTTTATAATCTGTTGATATATTGTTATGCAGCAAAGCTTAGGTTTACTCTATGAATTAACAATCAGCAGTTGAACAATTAAACCTTTGCATAATTACCAAAATAAAACAACGTCATGTTTTGGAGATCAATGAAGCTGCTCATAATCATAATTATTTTCAGTTATTGCGTTTTCAGCTGTTCCAGTCTTAAGCGTTGTGACTGAACGTATACACTGGTATCCACCTGGTTATAATAAAATAGATAAACTTCCGAGGAGGAAATTTTTATTTTCATGATCATTTTCACCAATAAAGAGGTCGATTTGTATCCAAATATTTTACCCGTATGTTGTACCAGGTTACTGACAGCGAATCAGTCAGGAGTATATACATCCGAGGGATCCAATAATCAACCAGGACGTTATCTTGTGAATTTCATAACTTATCGGTTAGGCAACTGTATGTTACTATTAACACACGGGTAAAATATTTGGATATAAATCTACCTCCAAGATAAAAGACCAATAGCTTTCTAAATTGCTTAACGATATATAACTCATGTAACATATTTATGTATATGTTCTCATCTTGTAGATGGTAAATAAAATAACATAACACAAAACAATACTTTATTTTAACATATCCAACTTAGCAATGTAAAACTTCACTAAAGTGACTATATTCACAGCCATTATACATTGAAAACGAATTGTTTATCATATGAGCTGTAAAGCTTCCAGATGCATCCACTTTATTCGCAATGCCTTCAATTAAAGTACCCAACACAAGTTAAAAAAAATATGTATGTAAATGCCTTTACATCAAAGAGTCGCTATCCTCACAGAGTGAAGTTAAATCATGAAAAGTCACTCAAGGCAGTCAATCACAAATTCTAGATCTGCCAATATTAAAGTCAATTGTGAATCAAAGCAAAATGGCAGTCGATCATACATTGTTGATCTGCCAATATTAAATGAATGCAATGAGTTGACGTTGATATTACTGGCAATCACTCATTCTAGATCTGCTAATATTAAAGCCAACGTAATGAATGACCGTATTAGAATTATGAGTCACTTATTCTAGATCTGCCAATATTAAAGCCAACGTAATGTATCAACGTTAAAAGGACTATGAGTCACAAATTCTAGATCTGCCAATATTAAAGCCAATTATAAATCAAAGCAAAATGGCAGTCGATCATACATTTTAGATCTGCCAAATTTATTAAATTAATGTAATGAGTTGAAGTCGATATTGCTGGCAATCACTTATTCTAGATCTACAAATATTAAAGCCAACACAATGTATCACCGTCAATAGGACTACGAGTCACTTATTTTAGATCTGCCAATATTTAAGCCAAAGTAATGAATTGAAGCTTAAAGTCCTGACAGTCACTAACATAATGAATCAAAGCCATTGGGGCTGTCAATTACACATTCCATGAAGATCTGCCAATATTATTGGCAACATAAAGCTGTCATCAAAGCCATCACAACTGTCAGTCGCACATTCTATATCTGCCAATATTACAGTTAACATAATTAATCAGTCATTAGGACTGTCAATCACACATTCTAAATCTGCTAATATTACAAAACAAACTTAATGAATCAAAGTCAAAAAGGCTGTCAATCATACATTCTAGATCTGTCAATAATGTCAATCAAAACTAGTTGATCCGCCCACATGTCAATCATCAGAAAAGAAACATATCAACATCTTCTTGCCAATCCTCTAGGTTCCTTTCTTGTTCCTCTTCAGGCACCTCCCACTCATTAGTCTCCACCCCTTGAAATAATTGATTGAAGCAGGGTGACCCCAGGGAGTTGAAATGACTATACGGGTTGCCATGGTTAAGTGTAGCCATACATAACCAGCAGAAGTAATTCCTACACTTTGTGCAGGACATCTTGTTGCAGCCGTCTATTTTCTGAAATTATAATAAAAATTAAATTGTTAATCCAGTTCATAAAGAGCTGAAATGGAAGATATATCAAATGGATGAAATAGGGGATCACATAAAACTGACTTTTTTTAATTCAAATAACTTTTTTATGGCAGTGAGCTACTTTAACCCAATAAATGTTCATCGTAGTTTTTCTAAATTCTCAAAGATAAATCTTGATCAGCTTAAATTTCATTAATACAGTTCTTCTACTAATGAATACTAGCCTGTAAGTTTTCTTTTCAAAATTTAAATTAGCCTACATACTATAATAAAGTGTTTCTGTGTGTTTAAGAAAAGGTTTAATGTCCCAAATTGTGTTTTGGAGGTGGAGATTTGATTTTACATGAGACCCAATGAGGAAGTGCCGCGCCAATTTTTGTCAAGTACTGAGCCTCTTGGTCAGGAGTATGCAAACTAAAATACTGTTTTTAAAGTTTTAATATCCTTTGTTGCCTATGATGTAAGAATCTCAGACAAAGCATTCCCAAGCAAAATATCACCACCAGCTATTTGTTATGTATGCTGATCTCCAAACACGAATCACCAAAAACAAGTAAAAAAATGAAGACTATATCAATACAAAAACGATATTTTAGAAAAAGTTCAAACCTCCATTGAACATCCTTAAACTGCAATAAACCTTTTTTCAATATTTATCTATCTCTAAAACCCGAAGACAAAATACAAGGTGACACCAAAAAATTATCAAAAATAACTGAGGAAGTGATGAGGGAATATTCTTGTAGCAGGGGTACCAATCTAAGGACTGACTCCTCTATGATATGTCTGATGATGGCAAAACATATATATACCTGAATGTTTGTACCACAAAAAGGGCATTGTTTACTGTACTGGTCCAACCAATCTAAGGACTGACTCCTCTATGATATGTCTGATGATGGCAAAACATATATATACCTGAATGTTTGTACCACAAGAAGGGCATTGTTTACTGTACTGGTCCAACCAATCTAAGAACTGACTCCTCTATGATATGCCTAATGATGGCAAAACATATATATACCTGAATGTTTGTACCACATGAAGGGCATTGTTCACTGTACTGGTCCAACCAATCTAAGGACTGACTCCTCTATGATATGTCTAATAAAGGCAAAACATATATATACCTGAATGTTTGTACCACAAGAAGGGCATTGTTTACTGTACTGGTCCAACCAATCTAAGGGCTCTGACTCCTCTATGATATGTCTGATGATGGCAAAACATATATATATACCTGAATGTTTGTACCACATGAAGGGCATTGTTTACTGTACTGGTCCAACCAATCTAAGGACTGACTCCTCTATGATATGTCTAATGAAGGCAAAACATATATATACCTGAATGTTTGTACCACATGAAGGGCATTGTTTACTGTACTGGTCCAACCAATCTAAGGACTCTGACTTCTCTATGATATGTCTGATAAAGGCAAAACATGTATATACCTGAATGTTTGTACCACAAGAAGGGCATTGTTTACTGTACTGGTCCAACCAATCTAAGGACTGACTCCTCTATGATATGTCTAATGATGGGAATATAAATATATACCTGAATGTTTGTACCACATGAAGGGCATTGTTTACTGTACTGGTCCAACCAATCTAAGGACTCAGACTTCTCTATGATATGTCTGATGATGGCAAAACATATATATACCTGAATGTTTGTACCACATGAAGGGCATTGTTTACTGTACTGGTCCAACCAATCTAAGGACTCTGACTCCTCTATGATATGTCTAATGATGGGAATATAAATATATACCTGAATGTTTGTACCACATGAAGGGCATTGTTTACTGTACTGGTCCAACCAATCTAAGGACTCAGACTTCTCTATGATATGTCTGATGATGGCAAAACATATATATATATACCTGAATGTTTGTACCACATGAAGGGCATTATTTACTGTACTGGTCCAACCAATCTAAGGACTCTGACTCCTCTATGATATGTCTAATGATGGGAATATAAATATATACCTGAATGTTAGTACCACAAGAAGGGCATTGTTTACTGTACTGGCCCAACCAATCTAAGGACTCTGACTCCTCTATGATATGTCTAATGATGGCAAAACATATATATACCTGAATGTTTGTACCACATGAAGGGCATTGTTTACTGTACTGGTCCAACCAATCTAAGGACTCTGACTCCTCTATGATATGTCTGATGATGGTCTTGCCATATCTCTTCTCTAATAGTTTCTTCTTCAAGTCATTTGCTTCATTGTATTCAGCCCTCAGTTTCTTTATCTCATCTGTAAGGAGAATTTGAGAAATATTAACCTCTCTTATTCGTATGAAGAGAGCAAATGGCAATACCAGTTGGTACATGTACATGTATTTGAGAAAAATCAGTCTCTCTTATTTCATATGAAGAGATCAAATGCTTATACCAGTTGGTACATGTACATATATTTGAGAAACCTCAGTCTCTGCCCTTTAATATGACAGCAGCAAATAGCTCCATCGGATAATAATGTTTAAGAAACTGTTTTTCACATATTCAATTATTTTAACTTACTCTTTTGATTTTTCAATTTCAAAAAGTGCTATATGCCTCAATTCAAGTTGTTAGCAACAAGTTTCAAGTTGTGCTTTTCAAAATACAATAAATACATGTTCATCTTGTAAACCACATGCTATTCACTGAACTTATATAATTATAAAAAATAAGGTAAAAAGAAAAAGTGAATTCACTAGATATCAGTTGATGTCACTAGATGTCAGTTGACGTCACTAGATATCACTTGATGTTACTAGATATCAAGTCTTGTCATTAGATGTCAGTTGATATCACTAGATATCAGTTCATGTCACTAGATATCATTTGATATCACTAGATACCAGTTGATGTCAGTAGATATCGCTTGATGTCACTAAAAATCACTTGATGTCAATAGACTTTAGCTAATGTCACTATATTTCACTTGATGTCACTAGATATCAGCTGATATCACTAGATATCAGCTGATATCACTAGATATCACTAAATGTCAGCTGATGTCACTTGATATCACTTCATGTCACTAAATTTCAGTTGATCTCACTAGATATCAGTTGATGGCACTAGATATCACTAGATATCACTTGATGTCATTTAATGTCAGCTGGTGTCACTAGAAATCAGCTGGTGTCACTATATGTCACTAGATATCAGTTAATGTCACTAGATATCACTTGAAGTCACTCGTTATCACTTGATGTCATTATATATCAGTTGATGTCATGAGATAAAAGTTGAAGTCACTAGATGTCAGTTGATGTCACTGGGTAAGTTGATTTCACAAGTAATCACTAAATGTCGATGAAAATGATGATGATGTTAAAACCTGGGTGTTAGGAATAAATTAAAGGTACCACCCCACAAAGATACTTTATGTCCTCCAACTTCACCCCTGAAGTCAATAAACTAAATTGTTTACCTGGCTTAATCTTGCATGCAGATATGCCATGGTAGGCATATTTACAGAATGTACAGAAGACGTAATGACACGCAGCACATCTTCCCATTGTTGTGTCGGGCTCCTTGACAACGGGACTCTGGCAATGCACCCTGGGACAATATACAACATCAGCCATTGTATCTAGCGTGGTCTGTAGAAGCAGTCTATCATATTTCTCAAATAGTTCAACTGGCACCAATTCTTTGACCTTATAAATACAATTGTGACAATACTTAATGTGACTTTCTCAAATAGTACAACTGGCACCAATTCTTTGACCTTATAAATACAATTGTGACAATACTTAATGTGACTTTCTCAAGTAGTTCAACTGGCACCAATTCTTTGACTTTATAAATACAATTGTGACAATACTTAATGTGACTTTCTCAAATAGTTCAACTGGCACCAATTCTTTGACCTTATAAATACAATTGTGACAATACTTAATGTGACTTTCTCAAATAGTTCAACTGGCACCAATTCTTTGACCTTATAAATACAATTGTGACAATACTTAATGTGACTTTCTCAAATAGTTCAACTGGCACCAATTCTTTGACCTTATAAATACAATTGTGACAATACTTAATGTGACTTTCTCAAATAGTTCAACTGGCACCAATTCTTTGACCTTATAAATACAATTATGACAATACTTAATGTGACTTTTTACACTTAGGCCCATAGCCAGGCCCAAAATCACTTGAAAATTGCTCAGAATGGTGAAAAACTGCATGATTTTCTGGCTAAGGGGGTGGGGTTCTCCTAGTTACTGTTTTCATAAATGAGCACAAAACACCCATTTTCTTGATTCGTTGTTGGTTAGATTAAGTAAATACGATTGTGACAATACTTTATGTGACTGTTCACACCAAGGCCCATAGGGAGGGGTTAACTTATCAAAAAATTCTAAAGTGGGTTCGCATTTCACCCATTTTGGCCCAAATTCATGTGAAAATGCAAAGAATGGGGAAAAACTGCATGATTTTGAAAGAGGTTTGGCCAAGGGGGTTCACCTCAAGACTGGTTGGTTAATCATTGCAATTTTTTTTTTAAATTTAAAATTTTTTCAAAATTCAGAATGGGTGCAAACACAGGCTGGTATCGAAAAATTTGTCCGCTGTGACGGAGCGTACTATTTTGTATAGAAACCCACACAATTTATTTTTTTACTCATATGTTTCGCTATACCAAAGACAGTTTCTCACTCCATGCAATGGGTATATCATTTGCGGGTAACTTTAACTTTTGTTTGAAGTCCAACAACGCTAAGAGTAAAAGCTATTGAAAACGGCGTCGGAGTATCATACTCAAAAATGTACCATTTCTTTTATTTCTTTTTAATGGTACAATATAGTGACACGATAATATTACATATGTTTTCAGCATAACTCTGAAGGTATTAATGATATCTTGATGTATTGGGTATTTTTAATATTTTTTATAAAAAATAATGTTTACATTTTTTGTCAGCTGTGACGGAGCAGTTTTAACTGTGAACTACGTTAAGAATTTAAGATTCAAATTATACCTTTTCAAAGTACCCTTAGAAGAGAGAATGTCACAAATCACTTTCCTAAATTATGAGAAGAAGCCTCTGAGAGATCTGGGGTAATGTAAATCTGAGATATAAAAACGACCACTCTTAGCATTTTTCGGAGGTTTGTACTGAAATCTGAATCAACATGGTGTAAACTCAACATAATATTTCTAATACGTTTCGCCAAGACGTCTTAGAATATCACGTGTAGTGTAAATTGTTACGCGGAATATGTCATACATTCATGGTTGCACGGTATTTGTGATACGGGTGAATATGCCATACTCACCTGCGGTATATGGCATATTCCGCAGGTGAGTATGCGAAATTCCGCAGTGAATATGTGATGCATTGAGTTCAGTGTATACCCGATACTCACCTTCAGAATATGTCATACTCACTTGCGGAATATGCCATATACCGCAGGTGAATCTGTCATACACCGCAAGTGAATATGGCATATTCGTTGCGGAATATGGCATATTTTTGTATCGTGTTTACCGCGTAACAGAAATAGGGATAATATGAATTTATTCGAAATAGCGCACAGACATCCTGCATTCCGACAGATGTATAACCTTTTACCATATAATATTACTGTATATAAGTTACCATAAAAATGACCATGTCAGGTTATGGATCCACAGTAGGCACAACGAAAGGCAAATACCCTATACTGAAATAAAGTTGACTATCATTTTCATGAGTTACCATGCATAACTTGGATTACAGTACAAACTGAGAAAAGAAGCTTAAAGAGTGGTCGTATATACATCTCAGAATTTGAATTGTGTACTCTTATTCCGTTTTATTTTTCAGAATACTTTACGAAAGAGATTTGATACGCTCACTCCTCTAACGTGTAGTTATAAAGAGATATATTATAAATCTAAATTCTTAACGTATTTCAGATTTGAAACTGCTCCGTCACAGCGGACAAAAAATTTAAACATTATTTTTTATAAAAAAAATTAAAAATACCCAATACATAAAGATCTCATTAATACCTTCAGAGTTATGCTGAAAACATATGTAAATATTATCGTGTCGCTATATTGTACCATTAAAAAGAAATGAAAGAAATGGTATATTTTGGAGTATGATACTCCGACGCCGTTTTCAATAGCTTTTGCTCTTAGCGTTGTTGGACTTCAAACAGAAGTTAAAGTTACCCGCAAATGATATATTCATTGCATGGAGTCAGTAATTTTCTTTGATATAGCAAAACATATGAGTAAAAAAATAAATTGTGTGGATTTCCTAGTGTTTCTATGCAAAATAGCACGCTCCGTCACAGCGGACAATTTTTTCGATACCAGCCTGTGGCAAATGGGTTGCAAATTTAATTCATGAGGTGTAGTTTGCAATTCACATTTATCACTGGCGCATGTCTGGGCTTTAAAATGGGGTTTAGGTGGCATCAATTTTTAAAATCTCAAGTGCGTGAACACTCAACAATTATATGGTCAGGCCCGTAGCCAGGGGGGGGGGGGGGGGGGGGGGGGGTGCGCAGGGTTCGGGCAACCCCCCCTGGCCAAAAATTCTTTCAAAATCATGCAGTTTTTCACCATTTTGAGCACTTCCTAAGTGATCTTAGCCATATTTGGTCCAAAATTGTCAAATGTGAACCCCCCCTGGAAATATTTGAAAACTGAACCCCCCTCGGCAAATCCTGGCTATGGGCCTGGCCTGATGGTAATGTGGCAAGTCAATATGCATCAATATTCAAATAATTAATATATATGTATAATCAATAAGGGTGTCAATAAAGTCTTTATACATTTTATGCAGACGGAATTATAATTGTAAAAATTCTTTTTGGACTCCCTGTATATTCAGTGTACCAAAAATACTTACCTGAGCAGGTGTAGCTTGCGATTCACATTTATCATTTGGACACGTCAGGGCTTTAACATTTCCATCATTAATCATCACTTCAAAGTACCCCGCCATACAACCCTGGCAGTAAACGTGTCCGCAATCATAGAACTTCAAGCACTGTCCCCCGTATTTTTCACTGAAGCAAATACTGCATGTAAAACAGGTGAGCTCAAATCTTCTTTGTTTTTCAATCTCGTTGAATTCAATTAAAGCTGGAAGGAGAGCCTGACGGTTGGCAATGCTTCGTATTGCCCGCTTGTCATATCTCTGTCCTCTATCGTTTGTTCGCTTATCGCCATCAATTGTTTTTGCATTATCAGTTGTCAATTCTTTGCATTTGGTATTTCTTTCAGCATCGTTGTTTTTCACTTTATCGTGACCAGGTCTCTCTCTGATTGGTTGTGATTGTTTATTGCGACGTTTATGTGCTTCTTCAGCATCAAAAATGGGACTTTTAGGTTTTTTCTGCCTTGTACTCTTTGAACTGGATTCATAACAATTTCCTTTACCCTTACTCTCATGGTGACTAGAATCGCTCCCCAAATTATTTGCAATATCCACATTTTCTTCTGTTTTTCTTCTCAGTCTTTTTCTTAAGGGTATAACACTGGATAAGTCAAGTGGCGATGACAGGTTAAGAAAATCTAATAATTCATCTTTCAGGAAACTGATCCACATAAAAAGCACTTCCATTCCTTCATTTTCAATCCATATCCTGTCAAGTTTCTTGCACAATTCAGTCAGTTGTTTCAAACTCAACCATTTTGCTGATAATGTGAACACAGGAGGCGCCTTGGATGGGTAATTCTTTGGCAGTTCAAAGTTAAGCTCAACGGGAGGTAGATATTCCAAATTATGCACAGCAGTTTTAGACTCAGCACCATCCAACCCAGCGGCAGCAATCTCTTTTCCATCAACATCACCACCACCTATATCCAACTCTGGAAATCGGACAGCGAAGGAATCAGGTAGTTCGATATTGGCGTTAAAATGACCGCTTCGTAAGCCATTGTCTTCAGTCGTGATGAGCTCATGTTCTGTATAGATACTACTCAGCGCCAGTAGTTCATTCTCTTGACTTTCATCATCCTCCTCTGCCATCACTATAAATATGTGTTCCCGATTTAATCCTATTTGCTGGTTGGAGTCATCATAAGTAATTGATAATTAATATGGCAGCACCTGCAATATGCAAAAATAATATATTATACAGGGTGTTCCAAAAGTAACAGGGATTCGAACCCGGCAACCAGAAACCCATTTGGTTTGAAGTCTGACCCCCAACTGACTGAGCTATCACAAAGTATTTACAAAATTTCCTGAACATATAAATAATTGAAGAATAAAGTCATGAAAAGTATACTCATATTATTTGGAAATGATCAATTGTACTACTTATATATTGTTATGTATTTGAGTAAACATTTTTGTTTACTTTTGTAATTAACAGAGTTTATCTATATATGGCAACAGGGTTGTCAAGCCAATCAGCTAATTTGATTGGAGCAAATTGTTGGACTGGGACGTTTCTTTTTTTTACTTCTTTCTTGCCAAAAAAGAAGTAATGTCTATGAACAATCATCAAAATTGAGATCGTAAAGAATCTGTTGAGTCCTCAAACTTGGTAAGTATAGATACATGTACACCGTGGTCAGAGGTAACGCGGCGGTAACATATCTGTTCAAACCGAGGCTGCAACGCGGCAAAGACACAAAATGGCCACTCAGTGGAAGGTCGAAAGGGCGGTAAGTTTATTCATAAGCTTCATACACTAGTTTGTGTCTGCTACAGTTATAATAGCATATACCATTCGGTGGAGAACTTCACAGAGTATGTCTATGTGAAGTTTCTTGAAATTTAGTCAATCAGGGAAATACATTCCAAGTCAATCAAAGTCAATCACTTACTGAAATTTGACAATTGTGGCATTTTCACTTTGTCACTTGACACATATCTATTAAATCACGTATATACCATGGTAATCTCTATTTCTTCAAAGTTTCATCACCGTTTGCCTTCTGTTAACCAATTCTGGGTGGAAAACCAGGTATATTTTGGAAACGCAGTTCAGACACTTCGGCAACGCGGGTTCAGACATCATTCATATTTGACAAAACTGGAAACGCAGTGACAGCAATGCGGCTGATGTTCTATCGTGTACGATAATTACATTATCAAAGCATTATCTATCTGCTTTTTTCAGGACAAAAACACCAAGATAATTATGCACCAGATGGGATGTAATGAGTTAGATACATCAGATACAGCAGATACATCATCTAACCATTCTCTAGAAGTTACACATGACGAATACGTAAGTTATCCACACACAAGGCTTGATATGCATCAAATCCCAATCAATGTGATTCAAACACGGGGTCTATCCAGGCCCCGCTGCTATCGCGAGCAATGAGCTCAAGAGTAGGAACGAGGCCCTGAGAGATATGATAAAATTGGAACATAAAATTTTCTATGAAAGTCTAGTAAGTAAAACTCAGTACAACTTTATTTTGTAGTACAATGGCTATTTCAATTGCAGGGCAAAGACGTTCTTCAACTATAACTATTTTTATCATATCTCTCAAAGCCCCGCTTCTAACATGAGCTCATTGCTAACTATTTCAGCGGGAACTTGCTCGCAATATACGGGGCCTGGATATAAGTCACCTTGAAATAATATCTGTTTCCTGAAATTTGATTGAGGTTAAGGAAATAACGAACCACTTGTGATATATTTTATACAAACAAAGTATTGAGTTCAGTGCTGAAACTTTAACTTTTCCTTTGTTATTTTTATTTTGATATTTCAGACATCAAGAAATCCCCATTCCCCCACGTTGATGCGCTTTTTTGGTGCCCAGCGGACCTCGGGAAATGGGGTTGTTGGCCTCCTCCCCCTATCTGGTGATATGAATTTCTGTTTATCCCCCTCGACATTTATGTTTATTGTAGAATTGCTCCCTATTCTTCGTCTCTTCGTTCTGTATAGGGATAGATTGGTATTGCTTGATCTTTTTCTGATAAAAAGTCACATGCCTTATTAAATCAAAATCTTCGACAGAAAAGCATAATGCAAAACTTCTTTGTACTTTACAAAACAGAGAAAGTTGATGCCTGCACCGCGTTGCCATATTTAATCTATGCTGTCGACGCGTTGCCATAATTGCTGAAAATGACTGCGCCGCGTTTCCGGCTAGTTCAATTTTGTAAGCAGATTGCGATGAAAATAAACAAAAGTTTCAATCTTAATTTGTATTGTACATTCTATATGTATCAGGCTATTGAATGTCAATGTTAAATTTGCTCATGAGTGGCGAAATACCTCCTTAATTGGAATAAGAAGATAGGTCAAGAGAAATAGGATCGGGAAATCATATCTGCGTTGACTATTTCTTTACTCTGGTCAATGCCTGAACAGAAATTCTTATTGCTTTACATACCTTAAGGGGTTGATCACCGAGTGTGAAGCATGCATTTTCAAAAACTTACCTATGTTTCGAGGAAACAGAGGACGAAGTGCCTCCGATAATTGGAGTTGCCTCCATTTTGTGTCTTTACCGCGTTGCAGCCTCGTTTTGAACAGATATGCTTGACTGCGCTGCGTTACCTATACCCACCTTGAGATAGACAAACTTGCTATACATCTTTTCGTGTGAAAACCTTAAGGGGGGTACTCAAATTGTGCTTTTATCGACAGTCAAACTTTAATAAATTACATGTACATGACTGTATGAATGGCTTTGTATAAAAACCTCCTACCTCATACCCACCTACGTGGGACATGATACAGTCATTAAAGAGTTCAATTTTAAAGATTTTTAAATCTCAAAATAGCTCTAACTATCTATAACATTTCTACAATTCTGGCTTTATCTTATGACTAGACAGATGACAGATCCATAAATAAAGGCATATGGGTGCATTGTAATGTGAAATGACCCCAGGGCGCCCAAGGGGACTAACTAACTAACTAACTAGCGACTGCGAGCATAGGTCCAAGAAGCCAGATGAAGAAATTGAAAGAAAGTGTGTTAAATTTGATGCCTCAAGTGAAAATCAAACCCAGCTGGGCTGTAGTAGCAACTTGCTATCAAGGGTCATTACAAATGCATCTATAATTCATCATAGACTAAGATTTAATGAACTGAGATCTTTAAAATTGAACCCTTCAAAGACCGTATCATGTCCAATGTACGTGGGTAGGTGGGTATGAGGTAACAGGTTTTTTTACACAAAGCCTGTATGAATGAGAATTTAATCATGCCAAGTTGTCTCTCTATGCTAGCCTGGGCGTAGCGCCCGGTACGCTGGGTACACACAGGCGTACTAGATGGTTGCAAATCGCTCCAAATACAACCAAATTTCAAACATTTTTTGGGGGAGGACCCCCTGAAGGCTTGTTTTTTTGTTTCTCTCTACTCTTGCTCCCATGAGGGCTCCCGTGGTGGCGTACTACTTAGAAAAATAGCGCTACGCCCATGGCTTGATACCTCTTATGTAACCAGAAAGTTGTATCAAGACCTTTTTGGTACTTTACTGCATTTTTTGGGCTCCTCATTCTCTGTCGGGATACTAAGCCTCTATTGACAGAGAGGAGGCCAAAAAACCTCTAAAGGACTTTATACAACTTCCCGCGCTTATGTTATAACTCTATGTGCTAACACACGTTGACATTTGTGCTGATAGTCTATAGAAACATTCTGTATACTGAGGTTTATTAAAACTAAATAAATAGTTTGTAAAATCTTTCCGTGTTACTCAACCATCACTCAATTATCACCCACCAAAAAGTTGAAAGTTCATTACACGAACTCTGTTACATTATTTCAAGATGCTGTCATCAGGTTAAGCGTAAAATCTATTGTTGCAATAATTTGGGGACACTTTATGTAATAGCTTTTTGAGAATATGATGACTAAATATTGTGTAAATAGCGTAAAGATACAAGTACTTACACGTACGGAAGCTTTGATAATCATCTGCGCTAAATTTCCGAACGGGCAAAAATATGGCAATTAAAATTCCGAACGTGTTAAATAAGTTTTGTAAACATTCCGGGACATTGAGAGTCTGCCCATATGTCTCGAAAGCCCCTTTTCTATGTATATGCTCTATATCTATATGATACAGGGATGAGATTGTCCACAAAAAATGAGAACTAAAATGTATTGTAATGAAGAAGTGTACAAGCTGAAAGCCCATGGTACAATCAAGTATGGGTATAGTACTATAGTCTCCCTCAGCTATTTTTCCGAGGGCATGATATACACATGTATTTGCAAAGTCGGTGTGCAGTTCATTTGGGGCAAGCCCAAATCATGATCATGAAATATAGAGGGTCAATATAACCTACTTGAGATTTGTTTTGCTCATCGTATACCATAACCAAAACAAATCCCACGTGGGTTGTATTGACCCTTATTATGAAAGTGCGTTAGGGTCAAAAACATTTTCGTTCGCCATTTAAACGTATTTGTTTATTAGGCGTCTCACAGCGCTCTTCAAATGAGAAGAAAACGGAAGAAATTTCTAGAGCTAGGATTCACATCTGACGTTAAATCAAGGTAATATACAGCACTCAGGATAGTTGATCTTTAATTAAATATATAATTAATACTCAAACACTGGAACTGTTGTTAAATAGATATCTAAACTGTTTACAGTCTGTGATAGTAGTCTAAAATAATTCGTTGATTTAGCTAATCTTTGCCCTTGGGCCTTATGAGGTTATTTTGGCCAACACCACAGGCACCAGTATCGCCAACTTTTAGCAGTCGGAAGAACAATCTAAAGCCCTTTAAAATACATGTATTTTAAAGGGCTTTAGATCGTTCTTCCGACTGCTAAAAAAGGTGGCGATACTGGTGCCTGTGGCCAACACAATGTTATATCTCGCCAACCTTTCGTCCGAGAGCTGAGTAGAATCATGTCCAATTACATTGTAATATGGATTATCACATTCTGCAGTACTGTCAACCCCTAAAGATTTTCTCGCGGGGCAGATTTTTTAGACCAAGTGCCCAAAATTTGCGGGGTTTTGCGGGACATCTACTAAATTTGCGGGATTTCGCGGGACATTTAAAGGATTTGCGTGATTGTGCTAATAGGCCAATTTTTTTTATCAAATTCGCGGGACCATTCGAGGGACAAACACTCTAATTGCGGGACAGTTAACAGGGGTACCACCAAAAACTTCATAGAGGGACAGATTTTTTAGACAAAGTGCCCTAAATTTGCGGGATTTCGCGGGACATCCACTTAAATTTGCAGGATGTCCCGGGACATTCAAAGGATTTGCGTGATTGGGACTGATGTAAAAGCGTGTAAAAGTACTTTAATCAAACTTTCAGATACTGATTAATCAAATATAATGCACCGTTACATTGTAACTTAAATAAACGTCAACACAATTTCACAAAATGCGCATAGGAATATTATTATACTTCATTGTAATTTATCAAAAACAAAAACCATGCTTCAGGTGTGAGTACCGTAATCTAACACGAAATTCAAAAATTCGGAACAATACTTTGCACTTCTGGCGTCGTGACCAACTATGAAACGCTTACCCCCATGATGTTATATATTTAAATGTACCTATTAATATACTGTAGGCATGAGCTTTCAATTGAAAGCCCATATATAGGGGTTCGATTATTCTACATCAAATTATATGAAATGAGGTTACTTTTCTAGATAGGGTTTGTAGAAAAAACCGGGTACTGGGTAGTAAATCCTCCATGCTGGGTTCAAACTTGGTACCCGGTCGAAAAAAACGGGTACCCAAAAAACGAAATATACGAATATACAACATAATTAGATCATTAGAAAACGTGAAAGATTTGTTTTGAATTATAAAAATGTATGTTACTTCCTTCAAAATTGAGCTAGAAGCTTCAAATAAAAAGCATTTTAAGGCTCTTTTCTTCCTCTATCATCATGGTCATATTTCCATTGGTAATCAAGGGGGGGAGTGCGATCGCACCCCCTCCTGGCTACGCCAATGACATTGTAAGACGATTTGAGAAACAAGACAAATCAATCTTACTCTATTTTCAATACTTCGTATGTTGGTACATGAATTGTTTTGATTATGATTTAAACCTGTAAATAGCTATCGTTGCTTTAGCAGAGAGGTGATGTGTGTTAATTTAAATGATGCAACGTGTAAGATTTTGATTATTAATCATAATTTAAGATTTTAAGTTATCCCAATTTTCGACAAAATGTCCACTGAATTGTAAATTGTTATTATGTCTTACAATGTCATAGGCGTAGCCAGGAGAGGGTGCGATGGTGCGATCGCACCCCCCCCCCCCCATAACCAATGAAAATATGGCCATGACGATAGAGGAAGAAAAGAGCCTTAAAATATGCTTTTTATTTGAAGCTTCTAGCTCAATTTTGAAGGATGTTACATACATTTTTGTAAATTCAAAACAAATCTTACACGTTTTCTCATAATCTATTATGTTATATATTCGTATTTTTCGTTTTTTGGGTTCCCGTTTTTTTGACCGGGTACCAAGTTTGAACCCAGCATGGAGGATTTACTACCCGGTACCCGTGTTTTTCTACAAACCCTTTCTAGATATCAGCGTCCATTTATTGTAACTCGCGTTTGCTAATATTTGCTCAGTTCTGAGATGAAGGCCACACGGGTAGTAAAAAGGCCAACGTTGGAACTATTTGTGACCTACATCCCTATTTTCGTAATTAAAATGAAAGTTGAACCTTCCCCCTTTATTTTGATACCAAACAACAGCATGCTAGGTACTTAAAATTAGGTAAACTTTACTCCTCAAAAGTGCAAAAACTTAGCTTCTTATAAAAGATAAGATAATCACAATATAGGGGATTGCAACAATTTCGGAAATTCGCGGAGGTCAAAGCCACATTTGCGGGACTTCGCGGGACATTGCGGGACACGCAAATTAGCCTAATTTTGATCAAATTCGCGGGATAATCCTGCCATTCGCGGGACACTTGACAGCTCTGCATTCTGTTTATTTATTTTTATGGGGGGGGGATTTAGGCTCACCTGGAAAGTAGCATTTTGGTAAAAAATTGCTATACCTAAGTACACATGTTATTTTCTGGTACAAAATAAGTATGAAAGCATGTGTGTATTCCCTTGCTTTTTTCAGGGAAGTATCATTACACTGTTACACATTCACTCGATGAACAATTTACAAGTCTTGATCGAAAAAGAAGTATTTCAGCGCTCCAATACTTCCACGGATTGATGATACTGATGTGAGACACAGTTAGAGACTAAAAGTAAGCCGCTGAAATCTTTATTCATATTTTAAAGGTCACTATCATGACTATTATTCACCTGTCCAAGTGCGCCGTAGGAAAGCTATTATATCAAAATCCATTTAGCTTTCGCAAGAAGTAACATTCTGTCACATATGTCATAAATTCTTATCTCCATGAATTTTTTGGCAATGAAAGGTAAGCCACTGAATATTCTAGTTAGTCAAATATTCTGAAGAATGTGAGGTACATAGCACACAGAATAAAACAGTGACATGTGATCAAAACAGTGAACCATAAAATATTTGAGATTATTTTCTCCTGATAGATGTGGCGTGGAAATGGTAAATTGGTCAATATACACAAATATGATGAAGTTTTCGTTTTCATGGGATACTTTTTTACATTTTATGACTTGAATTTAAGAATGTGACAATTATGGATTTTCAATTCTAAAAACACATTCGAAAATCTATGAATGATCACCCATGAGTTGATACATATTGAACACATTTATTTTCATATGTATTTCAGATGTATTTGGTTCCAGTGACAGCAAGCACAGAATAGCAAAGTAACAACCAGTGTAGAGATTGCATCATACAACAAGATGAACTTTGTTAAACAAGAAGAACTGCATCCTGAGACTGAAAATCTCGAAGAACATTGTGGGGCGAATATGTCAACTTTGGATGCACAAATGATTAAACAAGAGCCTGTTGAAATAGAGGAAGAAAAAGCACAAGGATTCGCATATCATGATATACCAGGATACAATGAAAGCATAGATAATATCAATCTTGTGAGTCACTCAAATTTCAAAAAAGAAAATTTGAGTCAATTTGACAATCATTTTGGTAATTCTGTATTTGCTGTTAAGACTGAACAATCAGCTATACAGATTGACAACGATACAAAAGCAATTCATTCATTTATTAAGCAAGAACATTTGGAACATGCTGACAATGAGTTTGGAAATTCTGTATTTGCTGTTAAGTCTGAGCAATTACCTATACAAACTGACAATGATACAAAAGCAATTCATTCAATTATCAAACAAGAACATTTGGAACATGCTAACAATGAATTTGGAAATTCTGTATTTGCTGTCAAGTCCGAGCAATCAGCTATACAAAATGGCAACGATACAAAAGCAATTCATTCACGTATTAAGCAAGAACATTTGGAACATGCTAACAATGAATTTGGAAATTCTGTATTTGCTGTTAAGTCTGAGCAATCAGCTGTACAAACTGGCAACAATACAAAAGCAATTCATTCACTTATTAAGCAAGAACATTTGGAACATGCTAACAATGAATTTGGAAATTCTGTATTTGCTGTTAAGTCTGAGCAATCAGCTGTACAAACTGGCAACAATACAAAAGCAATTCATTCACGTATTAAGCAAGAACATTTGGAACATGCTAACAATGAATTTGGAAATTCCGTATTTGCTGTCAAGTCTAAGCAATCAGCTGTACAAACTGGCAACAATACAAAAGCAATTCATTCACTTATTAAGCAAGAACATTTGGAACATGCTAACAATGAATTTGGAAAATCTGTATTTGCTGTTAAGTCTGAACAATCAGCTATAAAAACTGGCAACGATACAAAAGCAATTCATTCACTTATCAAACAAGAACATTTGGAACATGCTAACAATGAATTTGGAAATTCTGTATTTGCTGTTAAGTCTGAACAATCAGCTATACAGATTGACAACGATACAAAAGCAATACAATCACTTATTAAACAAGAATATTTGGAACATGATGGCAGTGAATTTGGAAATTCTGTATTTGCTGTTAAGTCTGAGCAATTACCTATACAAACTGAGAACGATACAAAAGCAATTCATTCACTTATTAAGCAAGAACATTTGGAACATGCTAACAATGAATTTGGAAATTCTGAATTTGCTGTTAAGTCTGAACAATCAGCTATGCAAACTGACAAAGACACAGAGTCAACACATTCCTTTACTAATCAAGAACATTTGGCACAAGCTGCTCAGTTATGTGTCCAAGAAGCAAAATCTTTTAAATGTGAACATTGTGAAAAATATTTTAGTCAGTTTGTTGAACTAAAAACACATATGAGAACTCACACTGGAGAAAAACCTCTTCACGCTGGAGAAAAACCTTTTAGATGTGAACTTTGTGGAAAATATTTTAAGTCATTTAATAGTTTAAAGAAACACATGAAAATTCACACGGGAGAAAGACCTTTTAAATGTGAACATTGCGAAAAATGTTTTCGTGAATTAGGTACTTTAAAAACACACATGATGATTCACACGGGAGAAAAACCCTTTAAATGTAAATTTTGTGATAAATGTTTTAGTATATCTGGTAGCCTCAAGAACCACATGGTAACTCACACAGGAGAAGGGCCCTTTAAATGTGACAAATGTGAAAAATGTTTTGGTAATTTAAGTGGATTAAAGTTACACATGGTAATTCACACAGGAGAAAGCCCTTTTAAATGTGAACACTGTAAAAAATGTTTTAGGAGCCGTGCTAATTTGAAAAAACACACGAGAATTCACACGGGAGAAAGACCTTTTAAATGTGAACTTTGTGAAAAATGTTTTAGTCAGGCTTCTACTTTAAAAACACATATGATAATTCACACTGGAAACAGACCCTTTAAATGCGAACATTGTGAAAAGCGTTTTAGTACATCTAGTAGTTTAAAGCAACACACAAGAATGATTCACACAGGAGAAACACCCTATAAATGTGAAAAATGTGGAAAATGTTTTGCTGGAGCTGGCAGTTTAAAAATGCACATGATATGTCACCTTGCAAGTGTAGCCTCTTAAGTGTAAAAAATGTCAAATTAACACTTTGTGAACCTAGTATTATTTTAAGTAAAACTCTTCATATGAGAATTTAAACACACATATTATAATTCACACTCGAGAAAAAATGTTCCAAATGTAAATGTAAATAAAATAAATAAAAGCTTTATGCATCTCTCCTGTCTAGTGTATTAGTTTGTCACTCTTTAATGACTTGGATAATAATAATTATATTGAACAGGGCGTTCAAACAGTACTGATAAAAATGCTGTAACATTTGTAATTTACAGGAATGTCCTCAAACAGGAATGTGGTGTTGAGTTTGAGTTATCTTGACTTATAATGTTAAACAAAGTTGCATTTTTTTCTTTTATAATACTAGTATATATTATTGTAGGGCTTGAGCAAGCTATTGGTAGCACTTTTAGTCCCGACCCAAAGAAGTGGATTTTCAAACTTGCTAGAAGAAAACATTTCCTGAATCATAATTTTACTTAAATGTCTTACCTTTCATTTTTTATTAACCCAGAGATAACTTTTTGCATCTTTATTGGAAAAAATCAGGATGATATCTTTGGCTCTTCGGAAAGGACACACACATAATTGAAATTATTAAAGGGTATATATACATTTCATTATACGTTCCGCATATTTTGTTTTAAAGCATGCACATATATGGTTCTAAATAACTTATAGTTTTTATCTGAATCATTATCATGAAAATGAAATAGAAAGACTAGTCTCGTCACTTGGCCTGTGATTTTGGCAAAAAGGTTCAATCATTTTCCAATTACTTTAATACTTAATAAAACACTATATAAATCATCAATTTGTACAGTCACAATGTAATATTTACCATCTACTTTTACCTTCAATAAATATTTTAAATCATTGTATTGTTGTAGTATCATGTAACCATACTTTCAAGATAACTCAAAGTAATGGCGAATTTCTGCTCTAGTCAGCCATTTTGAATTTTCAGAGGCGCAAATCATAAAAAAACCATGCCATAATTGTGATCTACTCTGAAATACCTTCAATTTGAGTATAATGTAGCCATACTTTTAAGAGATCAGGAAATAATTGCGAAATCCCGCATAAGGCGGCCATTTTGAATTTCTGAGGCCCGAATCAGAAAAAACGCAATAATATTTACAATCTACTCTAACAGTCTAAATTGCCTTTCATTTGCGTATAATGAAGCTATACTCCATGTACTCCAAAAACATCTCAAAATCAACGCAAATTCCTGTTTTCCCAATCCCCCATTTACGACCCCTGGGGGTCAGGGTGAAACACCCGGGATATATGTGAAATAGATAGATGTTGTTAATTTACTACCAAATTTTCAAATAATGTTTATTATTTTGATTTAAAATGAAAAACATAAGATTTTTGCGAAAATTTCCCGCCATTTTTTAACTGGCGGCCATCTTGAAAAAAATTATTTTTGCGTAAAACAATTCACCAATATACATCTTTCCACCAAATATGAATCCCTGCAGAACTTCGTTCGTTGGGATAATAGGGAGGTTAAGATATACCTATCCCTATCCGTATGTTTGTATGGGAGGTCAGTTGAAAACATACGGATAGGGATAGGTATACGTACAATTTTACGCTAATCTTAACCTCCCTAATAACGTTGAATATCCTGTTAATTTTTCCTTCTGTCTGAATCATTACAAAGTCCTTAATAATGTTTGTTTAATGTCAGTGGCAAAGGTCGTTTTATGTCCTCCCTCAAATAGGATTCAAAACTGTCCTCATTATGTATAACGGGATATGCATTGAATAAACTGCAAGGTTTTAGCAATCTTATCAACAGGATCTCATTGGTGAACCAAGGCGAACCAAGGTGTTTTTTAACCATTTAAAAAGATAAGGGGTACCAAAAAGAAAGATACAGATTGCATATAAATCATAGATGTGAACAGGCCCGTAGCCAGGGGGGGTTCGCAGGGTTCGGGCGAACCCCCCCCCTGGCCAAAAATTCTTTCAAAATCATGCAGTTTTTCACCATTTTGAGCACTTCCCAAGTGATTTTAGCCATATTTGGGCCAGAATTGTCAAATGTGAACCCCCCCTGGAAATTTTTGAAAATTGAACCCCCCCCCCTTGGCAAATCCTGGCTACGGGCCTGTGTGAAGGATCAAAACTCAAAAGCTGGTCTTTTGAATGCTGAATTTTGAGATTTGTAATGGTCAATTAATTATGCGCTCACTATGCCTGTTTACAGTGGCCTAGTCGTATAACATGCATTTCATATTAATCTAAGTCTGAGATCGGAACACAAGAACATACTATTGATCTGTTGATATTTCAAGTTCCAAGTTTAGTTAATAACAAATCTTTGTTCATTCCAAACTTTTCAAGAGTTTGAAGGGTTTTCTACACCATTCCCAGTCTTATACCTGGAACTTCACAAAGTACATCTGTACATTTTAACCATTACAATTACATGATTAATTGTTAGGGTGTTTCATTTTGGGATTTCTTTTCTGATCAAGTTGCTATTCATACATTATGATCTATGGTTAGTAGGGAAAAAATTTCAGCCAAATCGGACATCGTTTGCCTCACCCCCTCAAGCCATCTTTATTTGACACATTTAGCATGAATACATTAGATTCAATTATGAAACATGTACTACATTGAAAACTGACATATAAAATAGGTGGAGTCCTATATTCTAGCTGAGACTAACATAGAATGAATTACAATGTCAAGTGACATTTGAGGATGTTTTGAATGCATTGATTTGCTTTCTATTGATACACAGATACATGTTTCTAACTTTATGCTCCAAAAAGATAAAATTGATGACGCCCACTTTCTTATATTTTTCCAGGGGTAGGGCACTGTAAAGTGTTATTAAAAATATGAAATAGTACTATGTCATTATAATAGTTGCATTAAAAATATCACAAATAGCAACGAGATGACTTTAGATTACTTGTTTGAGCTGTAAAAGCTGTCATCTTTTGCTTGAAGCTACAAAATAATATAAAAGCGAATTAGACTAAAAAAATGTGTCGCGGATCAAAAAAAACACAAAAAAATTAATATCTCTGGATTAAGTTGTCATAAAATGTTGTGTTATGGCTTCTTACATAAAATACATAAGACAGCCTTTCTAAAGAGCCATTATACATCATTTTTTAGCCAACAGCTGAACAGGTTTTCTATTGCATGAACAGATTATTCAAAAAGGGGTCTAAAACTTCTTCAAAAGTAGAATGGTATTGAAAGTCTAGTTTTGAAGATATCAATTTTCGATGACCAAATTATGCTGAAAACAATGGATAGCACGAGTTTTCCTTATGGGATAATTGATAATAACATGGGATATGTGGTTTTTAACTGTAACGCATTTCAATACCAATCCCCTTTTCAAAAGTTGTAAATATAGTGTAGAAGAAACTTTCGATATGGTTAAATCGAGAAAAACAAGATCCTCTTTTTAGAAAATAAGCCTAACATCTTTTAAAAAGTGCCCAGATGGGGTCCTAAACCATAATTTTTCAGAGAGTTGGATTGATATTTTACTATTACGGAAACTTCACTTGAAAAACATATTGTTTTAATAACAAGGCATAGACGTGAACAATATCGTACCTAAAACACAGCAGTGTGACAGTGAAGAATTTAGGACGGAAAATCCAAAATGGCCACCTTAAACATCCCTGAAAATTTCAGATGAATCCATCAAATGGTTTGGCTGGAAACCTGTAGACAAGTCTTGAAAGTGAAGATTTTAGGACGGAAGATCCAAAATGGCCACCTTAGAATTAACCCAGAATGCCCAAAAACTAATCAGTTGTTAACTTTGATATGTAGAAACATCCCTGTAAATTTCAAATGAATCCGTCAAATGGTTTGGCTGGAAACCTGTAGACAAGTCTTGAAAGTGAAGATTTTAGGACAGAAAATCCAAAATGGCCACCTTAAATTTACCCCAGAATGCCAAAAAACTAATCAGTTCTTAACTTTGATACGTAGAAACATCCCTGAAAATTTCAGATGAATCCGTCAAATGGTTTGGCTGGAAACCTGTAGACAAGCTGAAAAGTCAGACGCCGCCCGCCCGCCCGCCGCCCGTCAAGCTGACGACAATATCGTACCTTTATCGTGGCCGCCCGTCAAGCTGACGACGATATCGTACCTTTATTAGGTACGATAAAAAAAACAGTTATTTATGGCCAGAAAGTACTCATGGTGAAAGTATGACCGTCTAAAATCACCTGCCATACTGCACATTTACCGCTTTGCCTCGCCTATTGATTATTGCTGCACTTGATTTTATATTGCAATAAGCTTTGCCTCGCCTATTGATTATTGATGCACTTGATTTTATATTGCAATAAGCTTTGCCTCGACTATTGATTATTGCTGCACTTGATTTTATATTGCAATAAGCTTTGCCTCTCCTATTGATTATTGCTGCACTTGATTTTATATTGCAATAAGCACTTGATTTTATATTGCAATAAGCTTTGCCTCGACTATTGATTATTGCTGCACTTGATTTTATATTGCAATAAGCTTTGCCTCGACTATTGATTATTGCTGCACTTGATTTTATATTGCAATAAGCTTTGCCTCGCCTATTGATTATTGCTGCACTTGATTTTATATTGCAATAAGCTTTGCCTCGCCTATTGATTATTGATGCACTTGATTTTATATTGCAATAAGCTTCGCCTCGACTATTGATTATTGCTGCACTTGATTTTATATTGCAATAAGCTTTGCCTCGCCTATTGATTATTGATGCACTTGATTTTATATTGCAATAAGCTTCGCCTCGCCTATTGATTATTGCTGCACTTGATTTTATATTGCAATAAGCTTCGCCTCGCCTATTGATTATTGCTGCACTTGATTTTATATTGCAATAAGCTTTGCCTCGCCTATTGATTATTGTTGTACTTGATTTTATATTGCAAAAACCTCAATATCATTTTTATCAACGTGCTATCTGTATAAGTGGTAAGCCTAATCATTGCCTGATTTTCGACAGGTTCGGAAAATTAAATGCCGGAAATATTATCTTCATAATGTTATCCAATGGGAAGTTTCTTTTCATTAGCAAAATGATAAAATTTGACCATTCAGCAAAACCACTTAAATTAAGTATCACTTATACAGTTCACCTCATATCAGTGATCAAGGTATAAACCGATCCTCTGCTGTTGAACAGATGGGCATGACAATTTAACGTGAGAAAACCTATTTCTTTTAGAAATGCTATATTCATTTCAAAATGGCCAATCATATATAAAGCTCACTCACTGGTCCCCATCAGATTATGTCATAATACAAAACGGATGAGCCTCCTTTGGAGAAAATAGTTAAGATTTTTATTTTCATCATTTTCACCAACAAAGAGGTTAAGACGTACTCAAATATTTTACCCGGATGTTAATAATAATATCCAGTTACTAATAAAAAGCCTGTCAAGAGCCCTTGGATGTACTCATATTTACTTGTGACTGATTGGCTTTTCAGTAACCGGATTCAACATACAATATTTGGATACAAATCAATTCATTTTGTTATTCAGACGTGAGGTCTAAGATCTCCTCTACTAAACTAGGAACTAAAATAGTTGTCTGAATTTTAGGAAATAGACATGACACAGACACCACCTGCCACTTGTTACAGATGCCAAACACCATCCGCAAAATGCCATTCACAAAAAATTGGAGACTATAACTTATGTCACCACTTTTGATGGTGACATAATAACTGACAAACGATAACTAGGGGGACAAAAAGATCCTGAACAAGACAGACTTTATGGGAAGGTTGTTTTTATCTCTAAACCACCTTTATTCACCCAAAGTCTGAGGTCTCTGTATATGTCTGTACATATATAATAAACAGTTACTTGTTAAATTACTATTTTATAACTATTTATTCAACAAACTGGTTTTACTTGTAAACCAGTCATTTCTAACGAATCACACAATACATAAATAACATGTTAAGATTACAGTAAAACCTATTTATGATAAATAACATGTTGGAATCAATTTGTGTACTACAGTAAAACCTTTTTATCTGAATACCTCTGATATCAACACCTCTCATTGTTACATCTTTTTCTTTGTCCCAATTTCGTGACCTCCCATAGACTTAAAGAAAAATCGTGAAATACAATCATCAGCTAGCTTGACCACTTTTGGCTGATTCCGGTGATCTTCTGATTGGAAGGTTTTACTGTGTTTTAACTTTAGATGTAACTGAGTGAGTGTCTTGATGTGGAAATTACACGAAGTCCTGAGAAGTGTCCTATGTTGAATATGATTCCATACCATGAGGAGTTCAAATGTCGGAACAGACAATTTTGATATTTTACACCTCTTCATACAAGGTAACTAAATGTTTAATACTCAACTCTAGCCTACATGATAATTTTAAATTATTTATTGATGGCGATACTTCGTAACTTGTGATATTGGAAAAAAGAAGCACAGAAAACAATCAAAAACTGGTATTCTCATTTGTATATATTTTTTATCAAAATGTGCTTGGCAAAATGAGAAAAAGACTCCAATTGTTCTGACCAACTGAAGTCTGTAAGTGGGGTGCTTTTTATTAAATATACCCAGTTTAAAAATAAAAAATATGCAACATAAAATAAAACTGGTGTTCAAATAATTTATGCTTCGAAAGTGTGGGTACCATTACATAACATGCTATTGTTAATGTTCCAGTTGTATCCATTATAACATCCTTTGGTTAATTTACTTAGTCTATATTACAAAATTTCCTAAAAGTTCTTTTCTTATTTCTTCCAGCGGTTGTTTTCGTAATCCCATTTAGAAGCCACGCCTTCCACGATACCTTGACGCTGTGCGATCATACGCTCCAAATTCTTCTGTTGATATTCTGGAGTGATCGTCTCTGGGTAGGGAGAATACACTGAAAAAATACGAAACAATTAGACACAGTGTAAAACACATTATAGCTCAAGCTCTCACCATGGTTACCAATAAAAAAAGAAAACAATTAATAGTAATTTAATGTTTCACAAATGTGCCTTTAAATAGTTGACACTTCTTGCACAGGTAATTCATAAGTTCAAGTGGCTCTATAAAATAGAGAAAAGGGTTATATTATGCCATTTGATAATTCACATGTGTTTTAATTTAGCCAATCAAAAGAGCCAATTAATATTTATTATATATTAATTTGATCTGCGATTTAACCCCTAAAAATGCTGAATCTATCCGAAATTTCCAGAAAGTTCAAATTAAGTAGCACCATATTAAAGATTAGCCCCACTAATAACAAAGTGTATGAATGTCAATTCTAAAGTGACATTTGCGAAACAGTGAGAGAAAATTAATAGGAAAATTTGAAGAACAGTTTTGCCGGTTTCACAAAAGTCCTTTTAGAAGTAAATAAACCCTGTCCTTAGGCAGTTAGGAGCAGGTTTAAAGTAAAAGTGACTTTTGCAAAACAATCAGTACATGCAGTTGAAAAAATTACAATACATATAATCTTCTGTAACCATGGCAACCTTGAGCCTCAATGTTTTGTTGTTTCTCCACCTAGCGCCACCTATCTCCTCTTTTGACATACATTTATAAAATGCATCGATAATTTCCTAGAGAAATGAATAAATTGAAAATTATCAAGTTAAAAACTAACTAATTTAGAGTTATGTGCATCAACTATCATAGGTGCAGATATTAGAAAATAAAGTACATGTTGTTAGTAATATTACTATCTTATATTATCTTTATAAGTAATATTACTATTATTTTGTATTATCTTTATGTATACAAACCTTTGTTAATGCTCTTGGTATTTCAAATTTGCATGAAGCAATTTCTAAATTGAATTATTAAGTAATGAATTACAATTTGGGATGTACAACTCCAAAGGATGATTTTCAATCGTTTCCATTTGGTAAACTAGAAGTATCGACATTATAAGTATCTCTGGTTTTGAATGTTTTTTTACTTATGGAATCCATTTGATCATGGCGTTTTGTTTTGTTTTTATTTTGTTTTTCCTTTAAAATGTTTTAACATAAAACAATTTATTAGTCTCATTCTAACTAATTCTTTTTATTTTAGCTGGTTTTATGATGATACAGAGTTGCTAAATCATATTACGTGTATATAATCATATTACGTGTATATAATCATAGTACATGTATATAATCATATTACGTGTATATAATCATATTACTTGTATATAATCATATCACATGTATATAATCATATCACGTGTATATAATCATATTACGTGTATATAATCATATTATGTGTATATAATCATATCACGTGTATATAATCATATCACGTGTATATAATCATATCACGTGTATATAATCATATTACGTGTATATAATCATATTATGTGTATATAATCATATCACGTGTATATAATCATATCACGTGTATATAATCATATCACGTGTATATAATCATATCACATGTATATAATCATATTACGTGTATATAATAATATTACATGTATATAATCATATTACGTGTATATAATGTTACCCATTTTAGCATACATATTGATTCAAGCTACCCGTACCCAAACTGAGTTTATAATGATAAAGAGCTACATCATAAAAGTTGTAGTTTTTATATGGGTTATGGTATAAATAAAGCATGTTGTTGTTCCTGGATAAATAATAATTACACTGGATTTTTTTTAGAAGTCTGTTGCCATAGAAAGTTTTTGCAATCTTGAAAATAAATTACAATTTTGAAATGATAATAATGATCAACAATTCTGTGAAATGCCGGAATGGATGTTACTGTCTGTTGGTAATGGTTTTCATTTATGTCCATAGATGTCGCAATCTTGAAAATAAATTAGATGATTCAAAGCGATCCACACACTCCTTTTGCGTGAGGTATATTAAAATTGTTAAATCATAGGTGTTACAACTAAAACTGACAGTCTAATATACATAAAAGTGCTTTGTGTGGTTCAACAACAGTTCACACAAATTTGAAATAGCTATGGTTGAAGTAACATCAATTCTTCCAGCGTTGATTTTCGTAGTCCCACTTAGACGAATCACCGAGGACAATCCCCTGTCTTTGGTCGATTCGACGTTGCAATTCTTTGTCCTGCCATTCCTTCGTAATCGTACGTGGGAATTCTGGGTACACTAAAGGATAATGATTGAAATCAAAAACAAACCAGAAATGGAGCTCTAGTGTTGATTTATGTTATGTAGGCCAGGGTGAAAAATTGATTCTTAAATTAATACAGGGAACAATTCAATTTGTGTTTAATTTTTTACATTTTACATGAGAGAAAAATAATAACTTTGTTGTAAACACTTGCTCTTAAGACCCTTTAAACAAGGAAGTTTCCATGTTTTTCCTCATAAAATATGGGGCTAATTTGATTAGACACTGTACTATGGTAACAATTTCCCAAAATTCCACAAATTACATGTAGTTGTGTCATTAAAGACTGTTGTGAGGGAAAATGTTCATGGGAATAAAAGAACTTGAACCATACATTATACAGTTTAGCTTTGTTGTGAAGAGTATAATATATAAAACTTTCAGATTGGTAATTACCAGTCAATATATTGAAAACAATGGACTTTTCACCATGACCTAACAACATAGGGGACCAGGTCAAAATTTTCATGTTGTCCAAATACATAATTAATTCCATAGGACCCTTCTCTTTATGCCCCTCAAAAGTGTTACATTACAAAGAATTTTAAAATCAATTTAGGCTGACAAAGCCTAATCAATTTTAGCCCCATCATCAAGTGTAATTACATGTGGGTGTACATTAATATTTTGACCTTGCCCCTAAATGATTTTGCATCCTTATGCTGAGTATAGCACAGTGAACGCCAGGCCAAGGTTGTAGCATTATGCTGCATATAGCACATTGACCGCAAGGCCAAGGTTGTAGCATTACGCTTCATATAGCACATTGTAGGCCAGGCCAAGGTTGCATCATTATAGAGCATACAGCAAACTGCAGGACAGGCAAGGCATGTGTTGTACAAGTATGCTGCATATACCACGGCTGTTCCATTATGATGCATACAGAGGATTAAAGGATTACCCAAGTTTGTACCATTATGCTGACGTATAACATAGTGCAGGACAGTCACAAGGACAACACTGTTAAGCAATTTGTGCAATGCATCACAAAAGCACTGCCAAAACTGGAACATTAACTCATCTCTTACTCAGACAACACAGGGTCCAAGACAAAATCATTTACTCTTCAGTGATCTCCCCAGCATTAAAGCAAGTGGGCGCAGAACCCACCTGAGATTTTAAAAACAGGACTCCACCCACCTGAAAATCCATTTGCACCCACTTGAAAATAAAAAAAGTGTGAATTGTGAAAATGAGAATTTTGCACCCACGAGAGGAAAATCCTGGGGAGATCACTGCTCTTATATCTCTAGGCCTAGTATTTCTTGTTTCCTCTTTGGTATTCCCATAAGGATATCTCCAATCTAAACCTTTCCATAACGTCTGTATACATGGATAGATTTTGTAACCCCCACTTGCTAGCAGCAAACATTTAAAGCAAGCTTATAAGTCAACTCAGTTTTATAAAAAATATTTGACAAATCAGTATTTTACAACCACAGTCATTGTTCTGCTATAAAGCAAGGCATTTAGCATGCAATGAACAAAAAAGAGGAATACTAACAAGGGGATTACCCAATACATTTACAGTTAAGGTAAGTTTGACAAAGGTGCAAATCTCAGAACTGAAATGCTGATTGAAGTCCAATTAGTCAAACATAACAGATTCAGTTCTTGGATTTTTTTGAAACAGAACTAAAGAATATTTTCAGGATATTTATAGTGAAATCTAGTGTTTTCAGTCTATAAGTAGAATTTTTAATAGTATCTCTTGTAATCATTCATTTCAATAAAACTCTGGCAACTAAATCAATAGAAGAAGAGAGGTTCTCACAAACAGAACAACTTATTTTAAGAAGGGGGAACAGACAAGGATTTAAGTGTTGGCCATGTATTGACTAGAACAGGGCAAACATATGACAATTTTAGGTGACATATTTTAATTCATCTCTTCCCCTGAAAACATAAACACATGGAAAGCAAAGCAGAAATGTGAGCCTTATATCTAAGCTATGCATTAGCACCAATAAACATCTATACATTTTATAACAAATATATGAATAATTGCAGTTATTTTACATTTTTGAATATGAAACAATAAAACCTGCAGGGGTTTAATTAGCAGCAGGCAACAGGTGATTTTCACCTATTGTTTTCACAATATTGCCTGTTGTTTTTAAGGCCTTTTCAACTTTTCCATGTTAAATCTATGATTTCCATTAATTTTGCCTATTGTTTTCATTTATTTAGCCTGTTTTGAGAAATTCTAATGAGACCCCTGACCTGTGTAAATGAAACACCTGGTTCAGTAATAGAGGTTCATTTACATAAGTTAATGTGTCTCAAGACTCTGCAAAATATTCAACTTGTGAAGGTGTTACACCAAACAGGTTTTACTGTATGTACAATAGTGTAGTTGTTCTGAATGCAGTGTATCTAGATTTCAATGATTAGAAATCTCGTAGATAAAAGAAATAAGATGTGATCTAACAAATAAAAAGAAAAGAAATTTTTTTAGTATGACCAAAGAAATTAGTAAAAAAAATTTTTTTAAACAGTGACTTACCAAATTTTTTCATGAAGATAACAATCCATCCAGTGACACCAAGACAGACCATGAAAGCAGCAAAGACGGCTTTCCACTCCCCAGTAGGTGCAAACATTTCAGCAAATGTTAGTCTATAGCTGGAGCGGTACACTGCAATATGAAATTGAACGATTGAGTTCATGTGTGTTGGAAGGTAGAATGGTAATCTCAAAATATGTCAGTTTTTCAGTTAATCAAAAGCTGAAACTGGACAAGCTGAAACTGGACACTAAATTGTGAATATGCGATATGTTTGTCTATAGCTGGAGCGGTACACTGCAATGAAAAATTTAAGCAATTCATTTTGTATGTGTTGAAACGTGGAATGATACTCTGAAATATGTCAGAATTTTTCAGCTAACCAAAAGCTGAAACTTGACAATAAATTGTGAATCTCGTCTATTTGGAAGGGTTCGCTGAAGTATAATGAATGAACAATTCAACATTGTGTGATAGGTCTCAAGAAAATTGTGTGTAAATCACATAATGACCACAGATATTTCAATTAACAGTAACCTGAATAAATAATGTTAATTGTGAAACCTTGAATATCTATTAGATATTTTTATAATTCAATAGAAAACTTCACTTACATGCTTTTTTTTCTTCTATAGTCATGTTTGACCAGTCTCCTTTTTCTAGTTCTCTTAGGGCTAAAACATCATCTGTATTTTCTTTAAATCGAATGGCTGGGAAAGGCATTTCTTCTCTGTCCATATAACTGGCAGTGCCGTTGAATCCATAACCAACAACATCTCTGTCTCCTGAATGAGAAAATTATATAGAAATTACCACAAACCTGTTCATATAAAATGACAACACAAAAATATACAGCTTTACTTGTACTGAGTTTATTGACTTGTGCTTAAGTGTTAATGATAGATAAAGAATAGGTGTGCATTTGTATGTCTGATGAACATTCACATATATAATGAACTTTCGCATATACAGAAAGTATTATTTATCCTTTACCTATTCTTGGGTATATTCTGTCTCTCTCCTCTTGTGTCAGGGCCACATCTTGCTTACGAATTGCTGTCACGCTAATGGATCTCTGTGGTATGGAGAGGATTCTCTTGGCGGCTAATCGAACCAAGTTTTGAGCCATTTTTGTCTGAAAATATGATACTTGATTCAACATTTACGCATAATAATAGAATGTGATTATCAATAAAACGAAGACCATGTGTACATGATGTGAATTCAAAAAAACCGAATGACCTTGACTTTTTTAGCAATGCCTCTCAGTCAATCCAGCAGCCAGATATCATCAATATCATCATCAGAATAGCTGTTGATAATGAAAATATGAACTTCACAATGTGATGTCACAAATTTGATCATTTAAAGTGTACTAAAAAAGGTAATCGATAAACTGCGTGAAGTACGTGACAACAGAGTTTCAAGAATATCCCACCGGCAATAAAAATGTTCCTCGACTTTGATAGGAAAATCTGAAGAAATGCAAAAGTCTTGCGCATCGAAAGTATAGAGACTTGGAAGTGAGAATTGAAGAGTTTCAAACAGACAACAATTTTGTATCTGATAATGTCCCAGTAACGTAATATACTTGAAAAACAAAAGTTACATTACCGTTTTCTGTCTGCCGAGATCCAAAATGGCGGAGTGTAAGATCTCGCGATGTCTCGTCTTTGCAAGAGGAAATGACGTCAAAAAACGAGATTTGAAAAAATATGAAAATACACAGATTATTTATGTTACAAAGGATTATGGAATATTTAATCGATGAAATTGAAAATAAATGATCTCAAATCAATGCGGAATATATAGTTGTTACCGTCCAAAGAGAAAATCTTCTAAAAATCAATTCTAGACTGACTAAAAAGATAACAAAAACGTGGCATCCAAATCCAATGACAGAAAAAATCAAAAATGAGTCATTGTGAATCTGATTCCCATTTTCCATGGAAAGTACATCTTTAGTCTTGATTTTAGATCTAGCCTACCGTTACATTTTAAAATTTGATCACACAAATCAAAAGAGAAACAATTGCTACACAAGAAAAATACACACCGCATTTGTTGAGTCTTGACGTGTCAACAATAGATATTTGATCTACGTTTTGACGAAACAACAGCAGTTCAATCCCGAGGATTTGAGGGCAAGACCTGTCAGTCACTTTTAGTTTTACGGAAACTACATTTATCAAGTGATGGCTTTGAGCGGCCAATTTCGTAGTTTTGTATGGGACCCGACACTCATTGTGTCACAGATAATCTCAATGCAGTGCATCTTTTATGGACTTTTAGGATTTTGGATTTGTATCATGGACTTCATTGCTGGAGCTGATAAATCATTAGATCAGATGTTTAAATACCAGGTGATTGCAGTTCTCTATTGTGTGAAAGTCTTAGATGTGCACGATTTTGCCAAATTAAATCTTTGTCAAAATCCGATCAAATACAAGTGTACGACAGTAATACCACAATTCTTATTGTATCTTAAATATGTGTCCTTAATTTCACTAATACTGATTGTCTGAATGGAAGAGATGGTATGGCCAGAGAGGTGAAAAGCCAAGTAAAACTATAGATGTTAAAATCTTAATGAATTTTTAAAACTTTTCAGGAGGACACAGTTTAAGTGGTTGAGTTTTTTGAAAGATATAGTATTAACAGATAGATAAAAAGAATTCCAGTAAACATATACATGTTGAAATTTTATTAATTCATTTTTAAACCTTTACAGGAGCTGCAGTTTAAGGGGTTGAGTGGGAGGCTTCTTGTAGGTGCTTATGCACTTAATGCATTAACATGGTAGGTACACTGTACTAAAAAACATCTAAAATTTATTTAATGTTCTTTGTCATTGAAACATATCTTCCCTATTTTCCTTCAACATATAAAAGTGTGGTTGAGAAAACAAGTTACGGTATTTGTTTACTAGAGTCCATTTCACTGCTTCATTTCGTCAGTAGAACGGCAAAAATAAGAAATTGGGAGACCATTGTGCAATAGTATATGGAAAAGTGTATTCATAATGTACATGAATGACATTTGTATATTTCAGATTTTTTAGTAAGCCTTTGCCGTCTTGTAATTTGAAGAATTTCAGCCATGTAAATCTTATTGAAAATAACATGGCAGAGAAACATCCAAATATAAGAGGCCACACACTTTATAAGCCAAACTAGAAGCAATCCAAGATATACAAATGTCATTCATGTACATTATGAATATACTTTTCCATATATTATTGCACAATGGTCTCCCAATTTCTTATTTTTGCCGTTCTACTGACGAAATGAAGCAGTGAAATGAACTCTACATGTGTTTTCTTGATTACAATTTTTATTGAAAATTTTTTAATTAAAAACTATAGGCGCTACTGTTAATTAGTCCCAGAATTCCTTAACATCTAGGTATTGTATATCACTTAAGGACAGGGTGCATGTTGGGAAATGTTCTGCATTCCTCAATTGAGTCGCATGTTATTTTTCAAACAAGAATATAACTCCTTCTCCACATTGTCTACATCTTCCAGGTTTGCACAAAGAGTGCACTTATGTGCCTAGAAAAGCCTTGTGAGAAGATTTGTTTTGTGAATTGTATAAAAAACGAGAAAATTCAGTGAAAAAAATTTCTGAAAATTTTCTGAATTTTTTCACTGAATTTTCTTGCTTTTTATACACTTTATCAAAACATCCTTCTCACAAGTCTTTTCTAGGCACATAAGAGCACTCTTTGTGCAAAACTGGAAGATATAGACAATGTGGGGAAGGAGTGATTCTTGTTTGAAAAATAACATGTGACTCAATTGAGGAGTGCAGAAAATTTCCCATCATGCACCCTGACCTTAAGCTTGAAACACAATAGGTTCAAAAATTACCAGAATACATAACGTTTTATAAGAAATACAATGAGTATATTATTTAGCAAAAATTAAATAATCATTTCTGGAAAATTGAAATATATCATTAATGGTACCTGAAATTACCAGATCACTGAATTACCAGATTACTGAATTACCAGATTACATGATGTTTTTGTTTTCAGTGCATTGGGACTATGGTATATAGTAAAAAGGACAAAACAGTGTTTGGACTTCACTGCAACAGTACATTTCTTTCATCTTCTAATATGTTGGTGCTATAACCTTGCCTTCCCACAAACTCTAACATGGTGGCTAGTCAATTTAATATGCGTGGCGATTATGACTGTAGTCGGAGAGTACCTCTGCATGAGGACTGAAATGAAAGCCATACCTCTAAGTCTGGGGGTGAAAACAGATCTTTAGAGTTAGCTCGATTCACCGGTAATCAGCACCATTTCGTAAAATTGCCTGTAAATCCATGTGGATATCTCAGTGGTTACAAATACTAAGGAATGGATTATAAGATATGTGCATCTACAGCGATTCTTCAGTTATGTCCAGATTAATTAGTAGGCTCTCATTAGTTCAATTGGATATGAGGGTATTTGTCTCAGACAAGAATATGCCTGAAGAGTACCCCTATCTGCAGCAATCAATTGTACCTGGAAAGTCAAACTCAACTGTAGCTTAGTCCAGCATTTACCCATAGCATGTAAACATTATTTATCAAAAACATGTAGCAAATGTTCAGTCTGGTAGTACATATTGCAGAGTCTTCTTGAATTGAAGAAGAGATTGGAAAATAGATGTCCCTTAACAGGGGTTTCACTAGAATTTTTCACAACCGGTTAAATAAATGAAAACAACAGGCAAAATCAATGGAAATCATAAATTTAACATGGAAAAGTTGAAACATCCCTGAAAACAACAGGCGATTTTGTGAAAACAACCGGTGAAAAAATCGCCTGTTGCCTGCTGCTAAAGAAACCCCTGCTTAATGTATTTTCCTATCTCATCAGGTCTAAAGCTTCCATATATATTTATAGTCAGAGGTGTAGCCAGGTTCTAAAATAAGCCGAGGCAAAAATGAAAAGGCGAGGCTAAATAGATTTAAATAAGAGCAATAGGACTTTAGTTTTCACAGTTTAACAATATCTGAAAAATATATTTCTGTAAAATTTTGGTGAGATAGTTGCCTTACCTGACTGATTCCTGGTTAAGCCCATGAATAAGGCCATGATACTTCATAAGAATTTGTGTTCATCATCCTCTGCGTTTAATATTTGTGACTCCATTATCTTTCTGCCTATTTCTGCTGGTACACACTACTGGGTCAGGAATTTTAAAGTTTGGCATTTTAGTTTTAACATTTTGACTTGAGTGTTTCTTCAGGAACATTCACAATCAAAGCCAAATTCATGAAATGGCAGAACTGCAGCATTAGATGGTGGAAAGGGACAGTGAGTACATAATAAAGCGTCATACAGATGCACAGCCAGGATTTGAAAATTGGTGAAAGAGGCACGGAGGAATAATGCTATCATAAAACTTGGCTAATGGCGATAGAAATAATTTTAAAACAAGGCATTAACATGACAAAATGTCACCACCTAAAACAATTTGGTCAATTTAAAGCAAGTTGAAAAAATACCTCTTTGACTTTTTTTGACATTGAGAAGGTCATTGAAGGTCAAATGTCAAATGTAAAGTCAGATTTGAACTTCTGAGAACATGTAGATGATTTTGAAAAAAAAATTAAGTAAATTTGAAGCAAGTTGAAAAAAGACCTTTTTGACCTTGAAAAGGTCATTGAAGGTCAAATGTCAAATCTAAAGTCAGATTTGAACTTCTGAGAACATGTAGATGATTTTGAAAAAAAAATTAGTCAATTTGAAGCAAGTTGAAAAAAGACCTTTTTGACCTTGAGAAGGTCATTGAAGGTCAAAGGTCAAATCTAAAGTCAGATTTGAACTTCTGAGAACTTGTAAAGTCAAATTTGAACTTCTGAAAAGATGTAGATGATTTTGAAAAAAAAATTTGGTCAATTTGAAGCAAGTTGAAAACAGACCTTTTTGACCTTTTTTGACCTTGAGAAGGTCATTAAAGGTCAAATGTCAAATCTAAAGTCAGATTTGAATTTCTGAGAACATGTAGATGATTTTGAAAAAAAAATTAGTCAATTTGAAGCAAGTTGAAAAAAGACCTTTTTGACCTTTTTTGACCTTGAGAAGGTCAATGAAGGTCAAATGTCAAATCTAAAGTCAAATCTAAAGTCATATTTGAATTTCTGAGAACATGTAGATGATTTTGAAAAAAAGATTTGGTCAATTTGAAGCAAGATGAAAAAATACCTTTTTGACCTTTTTTGACATTGAAAAGGTCATTGAAGGTCAAATGTCAAATCTAAAGTCAGATTTGAATTTCTGAAAACATGTAGATAATTTTGAAAAAAAAATTAGTCAATTTGAAGCAAGTTGAAAAAAGACCTTTTTGACCTTTTTTGACTTTGAGAAGGACATTGAAGGTCAAATGTAAAATCTTAGGTCAAATCTAAAGTCAGATTTGAATTTCTGAGAACACTTAGATGATTTTAAAAATTTTTTTTAGTCAATTTGAAGCAAGTTGAAAACAGACCTTTTTGACCTTTTTTGACCTTGAGAAGGTCATTGAAGGACAAATGTCAAATCTAAAGTCAGATTTGAAGGTCAAATGTCAAATCTAAAGTCAAATCTAAAGTCAGATTTGAATTTCTGAGAACATGTAGATGATTTTGAAAAAAAATTTAGTCAATGTGAAGCAAGTTGAAAAAAGACCTTTTTGACCTTGAGAAGGTCATTGAAGGTCAAATGTCAAATCTAAAGTCAGATTTGAACTTCTGAGAACATGTAGATGATTTAGAAAAAAATTGAACTCAATCTAAACAGTATTTGTTAAGTTATAGGAAGTTGTAAGAAATTGTTACAGACGCCGGACGCCAACCTCCAACCACCAACCGCCGGACGCCGTCGCAAAAAAACGGAGACCATAACAATATGTCACCACTTTTGGTGGTGACATAATAAAAATGGCATGGTATAAAAAAGATAATACTGGATTCTGTTGTTGCTGCCGTATTTATATCAGCCCAGAACCTATGGTTTTAATAAAAACTTGTGTGAATTAAAATGTTCGTGTAAAAATTTGTTGAGACTATTGCCTTGCCTTCCCAGGGTTCTTACTAGGCTTTTAGATCCCTCTTGCTTCAGAGTCTAATAGCTTTTCTGGAGTCTAATTTTACATTTTTGTCACATTATTTGTAGCAAAACTCTCGAGGAAATACATAAAACTGGATACAAACAAGGAATAGGAAGTCGGAAACCTTTTAGAAATGTATTTTGTGATTAAAATAGGAAGATAATCTTAAGTAGTATTTTGAAAAGTATTCTTATAGGATATCTCTGATCCTATGTAGGGGACTAGTAGTCGCGATACCATGAAAAATCTGGGGTCTAAAAATTTCCTAGCGAGAACCCCGCCCTGCTTCCTCATACCTGGCTGCGCCCAAGTTCATGTTTGCAATGAATGCTCAATTTATGTACAAATAATTTATTTATGTTCATAAAATGTAAATGTATAAATGTAAAATGGTAAAGAATAAATACATGTAAGTTATATTGTATGCTACACTTTGTTTTCATTTATTAGTTAAGTGTCCAAAATTATTTGCGGCAAAAATCACAGTGGATGAAATTATCATGTTACAATTTTCTCAATCATTTTTCCTTCATTCTAGATTTTGGCATAATATGATGTTTGTCCTCCCAGTTTTATGTCACCACCTCCACAATATGGTGACATACACCTAAGTCTTCAACTTTTTTGTGGTTGGTGGTCGTCTCAGTTCTGTGTCTGTAACAAATGGCGGGTGGTAATATTTTGCATTTTAAATGCCTTGTTCTGATTAGTAGTGATTACAGAAAAATCTTTCCTCCTCTTTTGGAAATGAAATTCCAGATTCTTATTGTTTTTTGAAATTCTTTTTTTTTCTTGAATGAGAAGGCACTGTTTTCATTTGAACCTTATGCATGACTAACAAATAAATTTAATTCTATCTTTTAACTGATTTTAATTGTACCTTGATGACAAGCAAAAGATCTATTCATACAAAAAGACATATTCATTTTTTTTAATTCATTTTATTTTTAATTCATTTATTTACTTCCATACATGTATGTCAATTGAACTGTTATCGGTATTAGGTGGGTGATACCTTATTTTACATACACTGTGTATATTGCCCTTAAAAAAAAAAATACATATATCTTTCCCTAGTTTTTCAAAGAGCAGTCCCGTTTTTTGTTCAATTTCCTTGTATATTATTTGTTGGCGTCTATATGATATATATGTAGGCCATAGGAGTATCTTACACAGAAGTCATTAGAATATCTATAGAAGAAGGGTGTCCACTAGGGACAGGTGTTCATCAGAGAGAGGTGTTCACCAGAGAGAGGTGTTCACCAGAGAGGTGTTCACTTAGACAGGTTTCACTGTACATCAATCATGATCATACATGTATGTCTAAATATCACAAATGCTCATTTTTAACATGCCTTCTTCATGACTGCCAGTTTTGTAATCCAGCGATTTGACTGACATACAGGATATACATGTATTGCACTCGCTGCCCACAGTTTTCTCATTTTCTGCAAAACGCAAGATGCAAGCTCACATATTCAGTCCTTCCAAATGGGTAGAGATTAAAAGGTGGATTGGATCGAGTGGATTGGATTCATGTAAAAGGTGGATTGGATTGGGAATCATCAAAATGTGGAATTTCTTATAAAAAAATTCTGTTGATTTCCCTCTACAGTATTACAGGTCCCTTTTGAGAAATCAGAACAAAGCAATGACAAATACATACTCCAATTAGTTCAGGGACACTCTGAAGTATTTAACCGCTTTCCCTTGTAAATCAACTTTTGTAAGACATAGATCTTTAGAAAAAGAAAACCTGTCATTCAAATTAATGTGTGAATGTTCACAAAACATTTTTGGTATGTTCAGTTTGGATTGAAAACAGATATGGATCTTCAAACCAGTCTGCCTTATGATTTATGTCTCAAATTACACTTGGAATGAATAAGATCGTGTATCAGAAAGCGGGTACCAGGTCATCCTTCTAGCCCACCCAAGCAAAATAATATTACATCTATTATTTGACACTGTGCAAGTGAAGAGAGCACCAATCTTCCTAAAGGGAGATCAATAGAATTTTTTAAAGGAAAATCCATATTTTGAAGATAGCCAATCCAATCCACCTTTTACATGAATCCAATCCACTCGATCCAATCCACCTTTTAATCTTTACCTCCAAATGACTCGTTTACATAGTCAAGTATTATGACTCAGAACATAGCCAAATATGACTCAAAGCCACATATTTGAGGCAATAAAGAACATTATATAGAAAATCGCAAGAGCCAAATACATTATAACTCAGTCAGCTAAATACAGTATTTTTATGTCCAATTTGCTTGTATTGATAGCATTAGACCCATTAAATTAGACATCTATGTGTTTGTCCATTTCGCTGTGTTTAAAGTGTAAGGCCCTCATATTTTGATTCCCCATCTGACTCCATTTGACCTCTTAAATGTTCTAAAGTGTTCTGGAAATGTTTGTTGATTTGTTCTGTTTCTTCGTTGGCCTCGAGGTTTGGTAGATCTTCCCGGATCTTTCCAATAAGTTGATTCAGCACCGCAACAGTGACCTGGAAGACGAAACCATGTAATCATTAAATTATACTTCACACATTTGGACTATCGGGTGGGGGGGGGGGGCTCTCAACACATTGGAATCTCTGTGATGCAGCAAATCCACAATTTGCATTCAAAAATCATTAAATGTTGTACTAAGACATACATCTACAATGTTCTACTTAAACTTGTTATATGTTATATACTTAAACTTATATAATGTTGCACTTAAAATAACAAAATCTAACAACCTTGCACTTTATAACCTTTAAATCGATCCAATGGTGAGGTTTTCATTCCTTTAAGTCCTCATCATAAATCAAAATCACTAAATAGTAAGAAATTGTACAATTTTGCACTTAAAATGACATTATCTTTAAATCAACCCAATTGTTGGCATTTATCATGCTAAAGGTCCTCGACATAGAACAGTCCTAGGAAAAGAATGACTGAGTGTCTTGGAGTGTCAATTTCAACTCAAGTAACTTGGCTTTATTGATACGAATGTGTTTTGAAAACCTGCATTTGCAAGAACCATTGAACTTGAAACAGGTAATTAAATGATTTGAATTTCAGGTTACATAGGTGTGAGAATGTATAGTGTATTTCTCACCTGGTCATTGCCCTTCTCATAGAAGTAAATATATTGGTTGAGTATTTCTACGAACAGTTGGACTTGGACTGAGCTATCCATACATTGGTTGGCAATCCGCAATCCTTTCTTTAAGCATTCCATAACACGTTTGCCATCCCGCATCTTAAAGAAGAATAGAGTTACATGACAATGTGTATGCAAATGTATTTGTTAAAATAAACCATGATTTTTCAAAACAAAACTTAGTCTTGTACCATGGCTATCCACATATTTGTTGGCAGTCTGTAGTACTAAAGGTTACAAAGTATCCCAAAAATACTTTTTGAATACCCCTTAACTCTGTCGACTATCTTTAGCTATAATTTCCAAGTTATTAAATATTTACCTCTTCTCCATTGTTGTCTTTTGACTTTCCAGACCAGAATAAATGTGAACACGTCACAACTCCACGACACTGATCTGGCTTCTTTAACAATTTAGAGGCTGCTAGTGCGCACTGGGTTCTCAGAGGCTCATGGTTTTCATCTCCAAAGCATTTCATTTGTTCAACAGTTCCTATTATTAACGTAATGGCAGAGAGCTGCGCTTTACTGTCAGATATTTCATCTTCGTATATGGAAAATGCCTGAAAAATAAACATGCATTTAAACGCCGAGTTTTAACACATGATGCAACTGTATTTTGAGAATGTTTGGATGAATAAGCTAATCACAGATTTTAAACCTGGGAATAAAGCAATGCATGAGGCTTGATGGTTTATTTATTATCTGGAGATGGCTCGTAGAGACTGTAAGAAGATAAGGTTCACTGGAATGTCACACTAGGAAGCAAGAAAATCTCCTTCATTTTGCTATGTCATGTATTTGTGTCTTGTCATAAAATGACATAAAAGTCTGGAGTTATTATTGAAAATGTTTCTCAAATGAAATGACTTTTTTACATCAGCCCTTAGCATAGGATTTGATCCTATGTTTTCAGATTAATTGTGAAAAATGAATTTCAGTCGTAGTTTTTTATCTTTATCCACTTTGATTCAATGCTCTCCCAACATCACCAAATTTCGTTGAATTTTTGACTCAAAATTGGCATCAACAACACTCAGCATAATGGGGAGTAGGGTGCATCATGAGTATTTTTGCCATAATGATTTAAACTGAATAACAGAACTGTACAACATTAAGAGATCACAAAATATCAACTTACTTGAGATATGAACTCATACGCCACAGATTCATGATTTTCGAAGCCGATCTCGCCCGCAGATACGGCACCCTGGAGGAAAAGCCTTAATGGCAACTCTGCTAGCTCCGCCTTGATGAGGGCTCCTATTGTTTGATGGCAGAATGAGAAGATCTTTTGACATTTCTTTTCCCATTTCTCATCCTATATACATGAAAAATTGTTATTTGGTTTTAGATTTGAGCATGTTGTAAAGAGGGCAGCACTTAACTAAGAATTGTGGCAGTATATGGAAATTTTTCAGGATTTTTCTAAATCTTGTATCTAATTTTCTTATTTTTTAACTGATCCCCTAACTCATTGCTGGCCAAAGCTTTTTTGGAGGTTTTCTGTTGGTGACTGGCCATTTTGATGAAAGATTGAGCAAAATGGCAAGTTTTCATATAAGCATAAAATTGACTGTATCAACACCCTCTTTGCGATGTTTTATGCAATTGTGAAGCCAATGACAATATATTTGAATTGCACCCAACCATGTTCCCCAATAGACCCCTACAATATTTGGTAGGATTATTGATACAAATTGTGTGACATATATTGGACAAGATATCTCAGTGTTGGTCAGATACGATTATGACATCATAGAAAAAATCTCTCGGGGTTGGTCATTAATGAGCTAAGGACTATAGTTCACGCCTAAGTTCTCTTAAACCTGTAACATTAAACCTCCCTAATGTTTATGAATAATTCTGGGTAAAACCTACCTCTTCTGCTATGCTCTTATACTTGTATGCTAATTTGTAAGCTCCAAATATTATAGATGGCAGTGTGTATTTTATTCGCTTATTTCCGCCTGCTCCAAAATGTTTCCTCGCTGCGTTCAGTATCTGAAAATGAAAGTGAGATTCGTGTTAACAGTTTTTACATCAAACTGTGACACAAGTACTCCAAAAATTTCAATGGGTTAATATTATATATACGTATTGAGCTAAGTATCATAGTGAGGGTTCAAAAACCAAGTGCAAAGACTTATTGAGTTAATGATCTTATATTGTACCATCATCGATGACTATGCAATCACTGACTATTCAACAATTGACTATAGAACCATCGACTATGCATCATCATACAACTTAGGAAGAATATGGGCTCACTGGTGGTCAATGCCCCATAGATTTATCATCAACACTCAATTGCCGACGTGACCCAAAGTGCTCACCCTGCCCCAACGACGTGACCCAAAGTGCTCACCCTGCCCCAACGACGTGACCCAGAGTGCTCACCCTGCCCCAACGACGTGACCCAGAGTGCTCACCCTGCCCCAACGACGTGACCCAGAGTGCTCACCCTGCCCCAACGACGTGACCCAGAGTGCTCACCCTGCCCCAACGACGTGACCCAGAGTGCTCACCCTGCCCCAACGACGTGACCCAAAGTGCTCACCCTGCCCCAACGACGTGACCCAAAGTGCTCACCCTGCCCCAACGACGTGACCCAGAGTGCTCACCCTGCCCCAACGACATGACCCAGAGTGCTCACCCTGCCCCAACGACGTGACCCAAAGTGCTCACCCTGCCCCAACGACGTGACCCAGAGTGCTCACCCTGCCCCAACATATAGTGATTATACTTACTAAATATTGTTGATCGGGATCATCTGCGAGTAACAGGTTGACGAACCTTCCCATCAGGCCTTGTTCCTCCATGAAATCTTCGGGATCTTCCTCTTCTTCTGGTTGGTCGCTCTGGTCCACGATGAGTGGGCCAACCAATCCAAGGATTGCGTCAACCTGAAAATAAAATATCAAAAGTATTTTACAATTTTTTTCTTTTTTTCTTTATCTCAATAGTGTAATGAATGATTAAAATAAATAAAAATTTATCAACACAGAAAATGTTGAAAGGGATATAAAACTTGTAATTTGTAACTTATAATGCAATTAAATCACAAACTATTAGGTGCCAGAAAAATTAGTTGATGAATGCCAAAGATTGAACTGAAATTGAAAGATTGAAAAAATACAATACATTCTTTGACATCATATGCAACTTTATAGTAATGTTCAAAGAGGAAACAGTATATTCACAGTACACAACCTTTTAAACAGGTGTTCTTTACAAACAGGGTTCATTTACGTTTGAAAACTCCAAGTAGGAAGGTGTTCATTACAACTGTGCAATCTTAGATGTTTTACCGCATCAAAATCAATACCTGTTCCTGTGTAGGTATCTGTGTATCATTATCAAGGGCATTATTGATAATATCCATACCTTTTCCTGTGTTGGTATCTGTGTATCATTATCAAGGGCGTTATTGATAATATCCATACCTGTTCCTGTGTAGGTATCTGTGTATCATTATCAAGGGCATTATTAATAATATACATACCTGTTCCTGTGTTGGTATCTGTGTATCATTATCAAGGGCATTATTGATAATATCCATACCTGTTCCTGTGTTGGTATCTGTGTATCATTATCAAGGGCATTATTGATAATATCCATACCTGTTCCTGTGTTGGTATCTGTGTATCATTATCAAGGGCATTATTGATAATATCCATACCTGTTCCTGTGTTGGTATCTGTGTATCATTATCAAGGGCATTATTGATAATATCCATACCTGTTCCTGTGTTGGTATCTGTGTATCGTTATCAAGGGCATTATTGATAATATCCATACCTGTTCCTGTGTTGGTATCTGTGTATCGTTATCAAGGGCATTATTGATAATATCAATACCTGTTCCTGTGTATCGTTATCAAGGGCATTATTGATAATATCCATACCTGTTCCTGTGTTGGTATCTGTGTATCGTTATCAAGGGCATTATTGATAATATCCATACCTGTTCCTGTGTTGGTATCTGTGTATCATTATCAAGGGCATTATTGATAATATCCATACCTGTTCCTGTGTTGGTATCTGTGTATCGTTATCAAGGGCATTATTGATAATATCAATACCTGTTCCTGTGTATCGTTATCAAGGGCATTATTGATAATATCCATACCTGTTCCTGTGTTGGTATCTGTGTATCGTTATCAAGGGCATTATTGATAATATAACAGCTAATGCCCTTCCTGGCTGTGTAGTCAAAGTACTCAAAGAGAGGGCCATAATGTTCCAGTTTAACAAGCGTAAGAACATTGTTATAGTTGTCCACTGGTATTTTCATAAGTTTTGTAAGTTCCTTTGATACTGCTGTGGTGTGCTCCAAACTGAAATACAAATTGTAACAAACTTTTAACAAGTAGAACATGTTAATTCTTCGATTGAATAAAATTGTTAAAATCGATACAATTTTGAAGTAGTTCTGACAATTCTCTCTAGATTTTTTAGCTTTGTGAGGATATACTGGGTGGCCCGAGAGTAGGTTTACAGTTACAGTTTAAAAATTGTTGAATAACTATAAACATACTTTTGGGTTACCCTGTTTTCTCCAGTTTTACCAAAAAGACTCAATTAACCATTAACCTTCCACTCAAATGACTATTGTTTTTTGGCTGCATTTCATAAAGGCTGACTTGCTTGAGGATATTTATCATTTTCAGACATGAAAATCAGATCAATACCAGAGTATACACAGCCAATATAATTCGGCGCCGTTTTGGCATCGAAAAAATTTCGCGCTGTTCCGGCACCGAAAATTTTCGACACCAAAATTTCTCACCGGACTAGTCAGTCAATTTGGCGCCGTGGCACCGAAATTTGGCATCAAAACGGCGTCCAAAATCAGATTGCATTTTGGGGGTGTAGGCACATTTGGACAAGAATAGGGGCAAATTATTTTTGGTAATAACTTAAGTTATCCTGTCATGATGTGTTATCAAGGGTAATATTTTAACAATCCATTCTTTCATAATCACAGTGTACGAGGGTTGTCTCAGAAGTAATGCACTATATGCTCTAACTTTATCAATAATTGATATTTTTCCATGAATAATCTTGTACAAATAGAGTGAGTCAGAAACAAAAAACCATAATTAACTTACTGGTCTAAGTTCTAACTTACTGGTCTAAGTTCTAACTTACTGGTCTAAGTTCTAACTTACTGGTCTAAGTTCAATCTGTTAAATATTTCCTCCGTTGTTTCTAATACTTTGTCAACATATTCTGTCTTATCTGGGTAACATTTCAGTGCTAGGTTGATAAGAGCCACTTGTAGTGAAACAATATCTTCCGGTGGCATATCTGGACGATTCTGAAATACAATGAATACAAAATAGAATGGCCATTACTTTAGTCTTCAAATTAACTACTACATGAAGGTTGAATGGAATAGGTTCTTAAAAAGGATCTTTAATCAAGAGTTATGGAAATTTTCACTCTACAATTTTTGAAATCTTTGAGAACAAAGTGGAAAAAATTTGAATTTCAGATTGTATGCCATTCTCCATTTATATACCTGCAATGGGGAGGGGGGGGGGAATTACGAGTTAGGAGTACTGTTCAAGTCAGGAAGAAAGATATATAATAGCTACCTGTATAACTGTAGAGATCTGTTGGGAAAATATGTCAAACAGTTGGATTTCTGATGGTACGCCATTCTCTATTTATATACCTGCGATGGGGAGGGGGGAGTATGGGGGATTACGAGTTAGAAGTACTGTTCAAGTCAGGAAGAAAGACATATTATAGCTACCTGTATAACTGTAGAGATCTGCTGGGAAAATATGTCAAACAGTTGGATTTCTGATGGTATGCCTACACTTTCATCTTTGTGGGCAAACTGTGCCAGCCTGAAATTTGATATTTTCAGTTTGAATTTTTAAAACAACCCTCGTATGAGAGTACATTTATACTGTGAGTGTGATACCAAGAGTGGCTCTGAAGCCAGTCTCCAGGGACTATTAGAAACATGTAATCCGGATGAAAGATCACTAGGATAGACATTACATGATTTGAATTAGTCATGGTCGAATGCTATAATTCTATATTTTTCTGAAGTGAAACTTCAAAGAGTTCAGACTTTTAGAAAAACCATCGTATGAGAGTACATTAATACCAACCTGTCTATGAGGGAAATGATGATGTTTTTTACATTGACTTTTTGAGCAACCCTCGTATGAGAGTACATTAATACCAACCTGTCTATGAGGGAAATGATGATGTTTTTTACATTGATTTTTTGAACAACCCTTGTATGAGAGTACATTAATACCAACCTGTCTATGAGGGAAATGATGATGTTTTTTACATTGACATCTTTATGAAGATCTGCACATGCACGAAGGAATGTGTTGAGGGTCTGTAAGTGGAATTCATCAGGGAACACCTATAACATACAGTGTACTTAAACGTTATATCTCATACATTTTGAATTAAAACTATTTAAATTGTTTTTTTCAAGTGTTTGTAGTTGTTGAAGGCCATATTAATGTGGGTGATCTACATGCCATTATTGCCCCCCATTATATCGTTGTACCCTGTAATAATTTCTATTTAAATACATTTTACATAATTTACATTACATACCTGAATAACACATTCCATTAGATATTCCTGAGCTATAGGGTCTCGGCAGCTGACTACTTGCTCTAATATAGGTGGCAGTATGACCTTCCTGTACGTCTCCAAGTCAACGCATTCAAGCTGACTCAATCGCACAAGATTTGTACCGACCAGAATTCTCAGTTCCCGTCTCTCTTGTTCACGCTTTTCTTTATCTCTGCAAATTAACCAAGACACAAAGTGATACTTTCACATTTTTATCGAAAAATTCAAAATGGCCTCCAAACCCACTAAGCTAAAACCGGCAGCAAAATTCTAAAATTATTCATCCTAGTTAGAGAGAAACAATTATTACTTACTGGCTTCTGGGCAAAAGGGTATATACTATATACTCCATATTAAATGAATAAACACGAACTTGAACTCTCAACCTGATTGTTACAGCCACAGAGGCTTAGCTTACAGTGTGCTCCAGTCCACTCAGCCAAATCATCAACCCCAAAAAGGGAGTTTCATCAGTCAAACTGATTAGAGGAAACATGTGTTAACGCTCAAACACACCATAGGTAACATTCATACACACATTATATACATAATACATTCACACAAACAAGATACATTCTAACAAACAAGATACATTCACACAAACAAGATACATTCACACAAACAAGATACATTCTAACAAACAAGATACATTCACACAAACAAGATACATTCTAACAAACAAGATACATTCACACAAACAAGATACATTCTAACAAACAAGATACATTCACACAAACAAAATACATTCTAACAAACAAGATACATTCTCATGAACAAGATACATTCTCACAAACAAGATACATTCTGACAAACAAGATACACTCTCATGAACAAGATACATTCTCACAAACAAGATACATTCTAACAAACAAGAAAATATATATAATTACCTAGAATGCCCCTGATGCTGCATTCGGACCCATAGTTTGTTCATCTCAGCAAAGTTCAATTGGATAAAGTCGACAGAATCTTTTACAGTTCCAGTCTCAGATTCACTACAATAGAAGGGAAATGATATCTTAATGAGGGGGGTATTGAAAATCAACAGAATCTTTTACAGTTCCAGTCTCAGATTCACTGCAATAGAAGGGAAATGATAGCTTAATGAGATAAGGTATTGAAAATCAACAGAATCTTTTACAGTTCCAGTCTCAGATTCACTGCAATAGAAGGGAAATGATATCTTAATGAGATAAGGTATTGAAAATCAACAGAATCTTTTACAGTTCCAGTCTCAGATTCACTGCAATAGAAGGGAAATGATATCTTAATGAGATAAGGTATTGAAAATCAACAGAATCTTTTACAGTTCCAGTCTCAGATTCACTGCAATAGAAGGGAAATGATAGCTTAATTAATGAGATAAGGTATTGAAAATCAACAGAATCTTTTACAGTTCCAGTCTCAGATTCACTGCAATAGAAGGGAAATGATATCTTAATGAGATAAGGTATTGAAAATCAACAGAATCTTTTACAGTACCAGTCTCAGATTCACTGCAATAGAAGGGAAATGATAGCTTAATGAGATAAGGTATTGAAAATCAACAGAATCTTTTACAGTTCCAGTCTCAGATTCACTGCAATAGAAGGGAAATGATATCTTAATGAGATAAGGTATTGAAAATCAACAGAATCTTTTACAGTTCCAGTCTCAGATTCACTGCAATAGAAGGGAAATGATAGCTTAATTAATGAGATAAGGTATTGAAAATCAACAGAATCTTTTACAGTTCCAGTCTCAGATTCACTGCAATAGAAGGGAAATGATATCTTAATGAGATAGGGTATTGAAAATCAACAGAATCTTTTACAGTTCCAGTCTCAGATTCACTGCAATAGAAGGGAAATGATATCTTAATGAGATAAGGTATTGAAAATCAACAGAATCTTTTACAGTTCCAGTCTCAGATTCACTGCAATAGAAGGGAAATGATAGCTTAATGAGATAAGGTATTGAAAATCAACAGAATCTTTTACAGTTCCAGTCTCAGATTCACTGCAATAGAAGGGAAATGATAGCTTAATGAGATAAGGTATTGAAAATCAACAGAATCTTTTACAGTTCCAGTCTCAGATTCACTGCAATAGAAGGGAAATGATAGCTTAATGAGATGGGGTATTGAAAATGTCACATTTTGCATGAATTCATGCATGAATGTGACATTGACAATACAGGAAATTTATTTTAAATTCAAATTCCTTTATTTATTAAGAGGTTTAAATAAGACACTGTAAACTAAAATTATTTGACTGTTTCACTTTTTTTATTTTTGAGAGCAACTTTTGAATTTTGAATTTTAATTTCTCTCAGTGTATATGTCACTGCCCCCAGGATTCCGTGTTTGCAGAGCGCGGACGGAATTTGCCTCTGCCCGCGGAATTGCAGAATCAACTATTTTGGTCAATTTCCGCGGAATTTTCCGCAGAATCCATATATTTTCCAAAAGTTTAAAAAGTCAGTCTTACCTGTAACAATTTGACACGTTTTCAGTCAAATCCCTTGCAGAAATAACCCAAATTATGCGAAGTGAAAATTCTAAACGCCATCGTTTGATTTCTGCCGTTAGATGGCAGCATGTATGTAGTGACTGACTACCTGACTATCACGATATTTTCCCGTTTACTGGTTCGAAAACCATTAGTTTTTCTTTCGGTTCTCATCAGAAAGTTAAACAAAGACATAAATTAATAACAGTTATTTATATTATATAAAAAAATGCCGCGAATATCCGCGGAATTTCTGCAGAATTAGCCCTTTCTTCTTGCAGAATTCACTAATTTCACTTGCAGAATTGAGCATTTTAACTTGCAGAAAACTGGGGGGAGTGATATGTAGTGTGAACTATGCCAAGTTGAACAACTTCTGTAAGTGAAACACTTTAAGTGGAACCAAGAGTGTTCCACTTATACAAGGGTGTTCCACTTACATACGTTTAACTCTATATACCTGGCCCCTTCTGCCTCTACATCGGGAAGGACATTTTTTGTACACTGCAGTAAGTAGTTCCGGAGAAATAGTCCCCTAAGAGGATGTTGCACACCGCGACACATCTCCACAAGATCGGCTAAGATATCCTTCCGCGAGAGTTCACTCGCTTTGATGTACACGACACCAACTGTGATTAAGAGATACCTAGAAACAAAAAATACAGTTATGGTTACAGCATTTGTATTTCAACAGAGGAAATTTTTTATTAATTTTTAATGGATTTTTATTTTAGTTTTTAACAGTACATATTTTCAGTACATTTTGACAATGGCAATGAACCTGGAAATAGAGTGAAATCTGTAAAAAGTAACACATTTGATCAAAAAAAGTGTTTGCTAAGGAGGTGTGACACTAAAAGAGGTATATCTATTTTAAATCAATGGGTCATGAGACATGAATGCTTTAACTGAAATGTTCCATTTTACAGGTTTTACTACATTGGTTTCCAATCTGGCATTGGATCAACTGCCAGCCTAGCTAATTATGGAAATCATGTTTACTGTTAATTGAGCGAAGAAACTGGGATGTTTTTGACTGATGAATATTTCGATATCAATGATCTAACATGCAGTAGACTACAAGGGAAAAATAAGCGAATACGTAATTTTCTCTAAGTAAATGTAAATGTACATAACAAATCATTTTTACGAAAAATTGGAAAAAGTTATATTTTCAGAATCTATCGTGAGTGAAAAGACCACCTACTTCAATTAAATCACTTAATTGCAGCTGTGCAATCTCAATTACTACTCACAGTCTGGGGATAATATTCCCAGCATATTGCACGAGTTCATACAGATCCGCCACTTTACGCCCCTTCTGAAATTCATCCACTAAATATAGTTCCAAGTGGCGAAGTTCATCAGATATTGCCATGTCTGCCATAGGTTAAGGTGGATATTGATAATTTTTTAATTTTAAATTTGAATTTATAAAATACTCAAGTTTGAATAGCAACAGGACAAAGCTAATTTCTTAGGCTGTTGTCTTAAGAAATTATTTCAAAAAGATGAGTATCTGCCAGGAAATTCAAATATAAAACCTTTGGTGGCTCAATCATGTAGAATATTTATGATTATTGGTGATACTCTTTGGACTGAGTAGTGAAATAGTGTGAATAAAAGGATACAGAGTTCGTAATAGTTTTTTGGTGACAGCATGGACGTCCTGAGTTCACTCAACATGTTTGAAGCATGCTTCAGTCCATCCATCAACTTGCCCTTGTCCTGCAACAAAAATTGTACAATTTTATTAACAGAGCCACATGAGGAGGAAACAAGGCACTAACATGCAATATGTCACCTGCCATTTGTTACATTAGTTACACATCTGCTGAATGCTGACTGCCATCCACAAAAAAAGTTGGAGACTATAACAATATGTCAGCATTTCGGATGGTGACATGAAAATGGTGACATAAAGTTTTATTAAACTGAACTTTATTTAGACTTTAAACAATTCAGTCTATCTTACCAGACATCTTTTCATCTGAAATGACTGCTGCTTGACAACTGCAAGGGCTTCATCCAAGAGCTTTTCTTGCTCCTCTGTGGGGGATAACTGTGGTGTAGACGGCTGAAATAGAATAATAATATTACAAAGACTCCATATGATATGGCCCAGGGGGAGGGGGTCAGATAACTGCAACAGCCTCATCCAAGAGCTTTTCTTGCTCCTCTGTGGGGGATAACTGTGGTGTAGACGGCTGAAATAGAATAATAATATTACAAAGACTCCATATGATATGGCCCAGGGGGAGGGGGTCAGATAACTGCAACAGCCTCATCCAAGAGCTTTTCTTGCTCCTCTGTGGGGGATAACTGTAGATGGCCGAAATAAAATAATCATATTACAAAGAGTCCAGGGGGCGGTTAAAAATGGCCTAAGGGGAGGGAGACAGATAACTGCAAGTGCTGCGTCAGAAGATTTAAAACTTGATAAGCTATCACTCTCTAAAACATCACAAGATAGAGTATTCCATTTTACTATAATTGTCCTTGAAAGTACATTTGCTAACAAGCCTGGCTTCTCTCCATTGTACCTGCTCCAGCTTACTTGAGTTTCTTGAGAAGTAATTCCATCTGGAACACCATGAACTATTGTAAAATATTTTATTCTAAATAAAAATGCCATGTTAATATTTCATGAATTGAAATGGAACTGGCTGGGCTCCTTAATGAGATATTGCATGATTTCGTCAGGATTTCGTCTAAAATTAAAACAAACGGCTCCAAGAAAAATGGCGATATTCGAAAACTGGACCAAATGTCGTTGATGTCTGACACTAGTACTCGCAATTCAAATTGTGATGTGGAAAACTGGCAAAAATTTGATTTCAAATTTTAATTAATGATTTATTTATCTGGCGATTTTTTCTTAAATATTCAATAAAATTATGACACGCTGGTCAGCTATTTTCACAAGCGTTCACGGTGTTCCAGATGAAATTACTTCTAGCCAAGAATTGGCTAGAGACTAGAGTAAGTACTAGTAACTTGTATGCCTGGGCTTCAATGTTCTAAGGGTATCGGTGGAGGTTGGGCTGGGCTGGATGAAGCCTCGAAGATTTCGATACTATTTCCCATCATGTACCATACAGTGACCCAAAAATATTTTAGAGAATGGAAATGTTGTACAGTAAAAAGCTTATAAAAGCATGCTGGATTTACAAGATAAAAATATGGGTCTCCATGCGTTTCAACAATTATCCATTTACTTCTTATTGAAAACATCGTGCGATAGATCAAATAAAATATCGATGAGGAAAAAGGGGAGGATTTTTCAATTTTTGCATATTATTTACAATTCAAAATTACAACATAACAGCATATAACACACTAAATATCATATAGCACTGATGTAAGCATATATGTTTATCATTGCGTTGTGAAAATACTTGCAGTATATTGCGAATCATCTATTCAAATCGAAATAGGAAACGATCGTGAAAATATTTCCAAAATTCAACTCACCATTTTGTTTTTCAGAGTCATGTGATCACAAATTTTCACTGCGATAAACACAACTTTGGTATAATCCCATGAGATCTGACAAATACCAAAATGGTAATGTTGCCTATTTTCAAAATGTGAAGATTGAATTCACGACCAATGTCAACTTTAGTACTCAACTCATTGTCGGTAGTACAACCAATATTACAACCAACACCAGTTTAAGAAAAAATATACACCCCGTAAATTTAACACAATGATAAATAGCACAACCAATGTCACAACGTAAGGTATCAAAAACACAATTTATAATATCATAAAATACCGGCCGGGGATAAAATACCAGGTGTATACAATCAACATAATATGCGTTGGCAAAATCATTATCACCACCAGTACTAGCAAAGATAAACATTCAACACAATTTTTAATGGCACAACCCTGGAGCACAACCAATGTCACAATCAGTTCCAATTCCAACACAATTTCAAATGTCGACCGTCAATGCTAATGACTATTGATTCTTTCAGAGTAATATATCATTTATTTAAATTAGAATATACATATTCATTGTATTTAAGTTTCAAAAAGGGTAATCCGAACAAATGTATTCAATAACAAGACAAAATCACCATCTAGTTGCTCACTATATTTTAAGTTCAATCTAAAGTCAATCCAAGGCATTTATGATGACATACCTTTTGAATCCATTTGGGATTTACGGCTCTTAGATGCGTTCGTCGGACCGAACCCATCTTACATGCAGATACTGCCAATTGATTAGATTATAATATTTCCTAAGAAGATGATAGTGTTACCTGTCAGAGCACCATATTTGTGTTTATGTATATATGTGCTATTTATATTTTTCTTATCGAGGAAAATACATTATAAGGTCAGGGGTTATTAAAGTTCAGATAAACATTAAACTCATTCACACATGATCATCTACGTCTTTCATCCTTGCACAAAAGATGCATTAGTGTACCTATAGAATCTGAGGCCTAGGAATACGTTTAAAATGTTTAAAAAGTCCCCTAGTGTACTGAGTTGGTAATGCGTGGTGTATACATGTATATTAATAGATTTTTTGCTATATTACTTACTTTTACTATATTACTTACATTGAATAAGAATAAGACTGATTTGTATACCCGGGCCTCAGTATAGAATATTAATCCTCAGAATGTTTTAATAACTAGAATAGTCATCAAAAGTGCAAAAAATCCAACATGCACCCTGGCCTTAATTGTATTGTTGTCAACTATAAATGTTGGAACTACCTTAAATCTAAAAAATAAGCAATTAAAGGACCATATTGAAACAGAATATGTAAAATAGAAACATTAAGTTATACATGTCCCAACGTTTGTATATTTCAGTCTGTTTTGCAGCTTAGCTATCATATCTGTGACCTCTTATTTTTGATGCTTCTCTGCCAAGTTATTTTCGAAAAAATTAACATGGCTGAAACTCCCTATAAATTACATAAGGCCACAGCTTTGCTGCACATTATACATAACTATCTGAAATATACAAATTAGGACTTGTACATATGTTTCCATTTTTTTCATATACTGTTGCAATATAGTCATTTGATTGCTTATTTTTCAAATTCAAAAAGTAGTTCCAAACATTTAGAATTTTATTGTAAGCATGTTTCCCGATATTCTTATATTCGACTTCATTTATCCAGATACCCTTATATGATATAATCCAATGGTGTTCAATGGTTATCTTATCACTTTCAATCATCAGGATGCTTTGAAATTATTCAAGCCATGACAGCGATTGTTTCTTTTTCATCCCTTCTAGTGCAAAAGTTTTATCGAATGTAACAACTTATATGTACAACTATAAATATAGAAACGTTTTCTTATTTCCCGCTGAGTATAATCACCCAATTGTGAAAACATTTACCATTAGTACTTATGGCTAAAGGAACCTTTTAGGACAGTGTGTACTCGTTGTTTTTTTGCAATTTTGAAAAAGTAGACCACTGAATAAGTTATTTATACTACAATAGAGAATTTTCGTTATAAGTTTTTTAAAAACTTATACGTATACTTATACTTATAAACCCAATAAACAAGGTGTTTCATAATTTCCTAATTCGTCGGGAAATATCTCCTAGGACGGTAATAAAAAGGGCCAATGGCATACCATCCGTACCCCCTTGATGTAAAGCATGTTTAGTTGTGTCATATGTGTTTTCTAGAATCAAATAGGCTGATATAGCACACGGGTTTAACAGATTTATCTCACTCTCAAATATATTTTTTGTAGATGATCGTTTTGAATCACCTTGTAGAAATAACGAAGGGAGAATTAGTTCAGCTAATGAATGAGTCAAGCTGTTTGATTGGATACTATGCCTATTCAGCCGATTAATTTTAATAAGCCATTCTGGTCAGTAGGTCCACACATATACAGTACTATGCGGAGATCCAACTCTGTAAGTTTATAATCTGCGTATAAACACCCTTGGTATACGCAGCTAACGAAAATTGACCGGTAATGCGCATTTATGCTCTTTTCTCTCGAGAACGACTGTCTCACATTGCCCCGAACCGGTCCGTCTTCTCGCTGCAAGCAGATTGCCCCGAACCGGTCCGTCTTCTCGCTGCAAGCAGGATGAAATTCTTTGTCACAAAGTTTGGCATTTTTATAAAATCAAACGCGCGTCATTGAAACTCACAAGATGTAAATAGCATGTCATTTACATCATACCTTGATGGGGAAAAATAGATCTTATATGTTAGAAGTACTAAATAAAAGTTATCGTGAAAATGAGACAGTCGTTCTCGAGAGAAAAGAGCATAAATGCGCATTAAGAGAGTTTTGGTCCGCTTAAAAATCTGTAAAAAATTGGGGTACTTAAAAGCATCGGGAGGCATCATATATTTCAAATTAGACACGAGGAAGTCAATATTGAGCAAGTTATGGCTATTTTAAATTCAAATAAAACCGTTAACCCGTACCGGTCCAGCTTTTGACCCGTACCGGTCAATTTTCGTTAGCTGCGTATACCAAGGGTGATAAAGGCCCTTTTATACGTAAAAACTTAAAAATTGACCTTATAATTTCATGAGAACTTTGAAATGATCGACTCGTTCGTGTAGTGATTCACTTTAAAGGGTCTTGTTTATCGTACACTACAAGGACCCGTCAACTAGCGTTTAGTTTATCGTGTTCATAATTGACACTAGCAAAGGACATTGTATTCGCAGTCCCTAGTTGATGATGGAGCTTGACTATATCGGGAATAGTTATGCCCCACTTGGTACCGATTATTTTAGTTCGACAAGACCCTTTAAACTATAAGTATACGTATACGTTTTTGAAACAACTTATAACGAAAATTCTCTATTATCCAAAGAATTAACAACCCTCAATTAATAATCGATCAGCTAGGTACACTAATGCACCTTTTGTACAAAAAATGAAACACAATGATAAATAGCACAGGTGTAAAAGGGTAGGTGGTCCTATCAAATATTGGTCCTACTCTCCATTGATTTAAATGGTGACCTCTTTGTGCTCTTTCCCTTGTTATCTTATACACAATCAGGGCCAGTAAGGGCCTTTAAAAGGGGGGACCACAATCCCCGGGGGACCATAAATTCTTTTACATCGGCACATGATCAAACAATTAAAAATTACCATGATCATCTTCAAAGTTTGAAGGATTGCTACACTACATGTATACGTCCACATTCCTATAAAAATCATACAAATCTGTAAGATTTGATTTTTCGTAAAAAGTTTGACGAAACTGAAATATAAGTAATGGTATTTTCGAGCTCAAACCTAGGATGAAGAAATTCAAGCTCAAACTAAAACAGCATCTTGAAAAGGGTAATTTTGATTGCAGTGTGAGTGGTCACCATCCAATCACCAACCAGTGCTCAGAATGCATTGAAGTGGAAAACAAAAACAAAAACAAGGGTTTGTGAAAATTACTGAATGAAATGCGACTTATAAGTTTGTTTACAATACGAGTGTGAAAATCCGATTGCATGAAAAACCAAATCCAAGTACAGTTGCTACATAGAGAAATTCTTAACAGAAGTGGTACCGTGATATTTTGGATGTGAGTATGAATTGTATTTACCTCAATAACCATAGTCAAATTAGTCCTAGATCGATGTGTCTATACATTTTACCCAATTATTGATTACCATGGCAATATGTTGATTTGGCATCATTGGAATATGTGGTATGCATTGTGGGAGCCGACGTCTCTATACTACAGTATCCCTTGGAATGGATAGCTTTAGATAAAGAGAGACTCATAAGCCAGAGTGAGTGGGTATATCGGAATTTGTCCACCCTATTGCAATTGTCTGAGACTACATGTACACTGTATGATGCTTGATGCCACCTATCCACACGTGCAATTGGGGACCAGCCCCTTCCAAATGGTTCCAGGGGCGCAGCCAGCAATCGTCAAGGCCAGCAGGGGGTGCGATTTTTGGGCTTTGCATCACTGCGAGCGAAGCGAGCCCCAAAAAGGGGTACGGGGTTCACCCCTAGTATGTATCCAACAGACCGAATATAATATTCGGTCTGTTATGATTGATATATTTCCTATGGAAATCGCGGTGATATTTTTTGCACATAAATTACTCGTTTATTACAAGAATGTTCACCTTGAAAATTGGTGAATATGTTGAAGAGATATTCATCTTAAACTAGAAGCAAAGATATTTGTATAAGGCGGGTACAAGTTGATATAAAATAATGAAATGTTCAGACTCACCAAAAGTTCAGGATGTGTTTATAAGTACATCGCGAAATCAATGTCAAGGACGTTTGAGTTCACGAGATCCAAACGAGATATGCAAATTTTTTAACACAACACATGACCACTTGATTACCTCGGCCTTCTTCATGAATATTTCCGCTCTATTAAATGAAGAAAATTAATCGGGATAATGATAATAAATGACTAGATCTAATAAATTCCCGCACAAATGGAATTTATCAACACGCTTCCGTCCGCTCCACGTGTTATTTGTTTACAAATAGACTGACGTCACTGGCTAAATCTC